GGGAAACCAAAGCGAAGCCACCATGGTTGGTTGTTTGAATCCCTGTTTCGACACCTATCCATTTGGAGGAATCTGCCTTGGCCCGGCAGCATTTGGCAAGGCATACTCCTGGACAGCCGAGAGGTGAGATGGCGCAGCGTCTCACAGTGTGGGGCTGGGGGGGGGGGGTAGGATGCCAACAGGCGCTGCCTCAACGCTTCAACTGGCAGACGGTTCAAACATGGGGCTGGCGATTTTTCAGGGAACCAAATTGGAGAAACTTACACAACCACTTGTGAACCAACACTTGGCACGCCCCACTCTAAGGGCCTACGAACCGCGAGTGCTTGACACATCCTTTCGGCACGGGGGGTGGAGAAAATAGTCAGGGATCTTTGCCGGAAGGCTCAAGGGACATGAGAGGTTTCTTGGGGATACCCGTGCGGAAACCAGCCCCCAGTTCTGGGTAACACCCACGTAGCGCCTGCCGTGCCGTTAGTTCTTTTGTCGCGAGCGTGCCCCTTCCTGCCCGTTTGAATGACTGAGAGATTTGCTGCGGCCCGGGTGTGTGGCGAAGATCGCCGAACCACCCTGAAGCAAGTAGAGAGTAACAGTGACTGCTTCTTGGGCAGCACGCAAAGTGGGCCTTCTGAGCCGCTGTCAATCGCCAGGTGTCCCCTCATTGCAATACTATAGTCACTGGTTTGTTGATGCACCAGAACAAGAGTTAACATTGGCTCCCATGCCTTCATGCCTAGGTCCCACTTACCCTATGGACATACCCCGAAATCAACGGTTTCTAAACGGGTTATGGGGACAGGGGCCATCGAGGTACCTACCCCAGACTCATTCTGCATGGCTTATAGACACGATATGTCGATTTTAGGTTTGTGCAAAAGACCTTCAAGACTGGCATTCTGCTTGCGCAACTGGGAAGCCATCTATGGACAGGGTATCTATTCTCGATTTTCCCTTGGGTAGTCAGTGGTGTTCGGTAAGTGATTATGTGAGTCTTTTGTTCCTTCTTTTCTCGAGGGAGGGGGGGGGGGTTATGGTGGAAGCTCTCTTGGATCGCCGTCCGAAATTGCAGGCGTCCCAAAGGCCTTTGAAGGGTCTGGCACAAGTCCAGATGCCAGCCGGCTGACAACCAGCTGAGCGCGGGGCGAGGTTGACCGAGGTTCTGGGTCCTTCAAAGTGGTGGCATTTTGAGTGCTCTCAAAACATGTTATGTTTGTAGTTGGTTTTTCCCTTTCAATCCACCTTTAAAGGCTAATGGTGAGGATGTCACTTTATTGGAACCAGGAACTGGCTGCCATACTTTTTCGAGGATACAGTTTTTTGGGGTGCTTTAAGGGAAACCGTCCCCAAAAGGGTTTCTCGTGGCGCTTTCCCATGTGCTGCTATGAACCCCGAGTCGCGGGAGGTTTTTGGAAGCGTTATCGTTTGCATACTTTTCCGGAGGGACCAGGATCTCCCTTCAGGGTGGCAGACCCCAACCTCGTTGTACTTCAAATGGAGCTGTTATGGCCCATCGGTCGCTTGGCTCCCTCGATGTCCTTCAGTTTTGGGACCCAGCCCGATTTCTTGTCGTGCGAGGAATCATTGCCGATATGTGTAAGGCATAGACAACTAAGGCATCACCTAGATGAAGCTTGCCCCATATTAATATGGCTATGTTTCACAATTACCCCGCGACCACCCCGAAGGCGAAGTGGAGTGGAGCCCTCTTTGTCCTTCCTGCCAATATGTAACATGGCACCTGGATTCCTCCCATGGAAGCTGTGGGAGGGTATTTGGAAGACCCGTTTCCTCTTGGGAAAAAACTAGACGACGAGTGGCCCGGAAGCATAGAGGCAAGTTGATGCAGGTGAGGTAACTCTCGCAAAGTTAGCATGAGGAGTTGGCAGGCGAAGCAATTCTCAAAAAGTTGGCATGAGAAGCTGGCAGGTTAAGTAACTCTCGAATAGTTGGCTGGCAAAGTTGGCGGGTGAAGTAATTCTCGCAAAGTTGACATGAGAAGTTGGCAGGCGAAGTAACTCAAGAGAAAAGTTGGCATGAGAAGTTGGCAGGTGAAATAACTCTCAAAGAGTTGGCATGAGAAGTTGGCAGGTGAAGTAACTCTCGAAAAGTTGGCGTGAGAAGCTGGCAGGTGAAGTAATTCTCGAAAAGTTGGCACGAGAAGATGGCGCGTGAAGTAACTCTCGAAAAGTTGGCGTGAGAAGCCGGCAGGTGAAGTAACTTTCGAAAAGTTAGCATGAGAAGTTGGCAGGCGAAGTAATTCTCGAAAAGTTGGCGCGAGAAGTTGGCAGGCGAAGTAACTCTCGAAAAGTTGGCAGGCGATGTTGGCAGGTGAAGTACCTCTCGAAAAGTTGGCATGAGAAGCTGGCAGGTGAAGTAAATTTTCGAAAAGTTGCCACGAGAGGTTGGCAGATAAAGTATTTCTCGAAAAGTTGGCATGAGAAGTTGGCAGGTGAAGTAATTCTCGAAAAGTTGGCAGGTGAAGTTGCCACGAGAGGTTGGCAGGTAAAGTATTTCTCGAAAAGTTGGCATGAGAAGTTGGCAGGTAAAGTAATTCTCGAAAAGTTGGCATGAGAAGCTCGCAGGTGTAGTAACTCTCGAAAAGTTGGCATGATAAGCTCGCAGGTGAAGTAACTCCTCGAAAAGTTGGCACGAGAAGTTGGCAGGTGAAGTAACTCTCGAAAAGGTGGCATGAGAAGCTGGCAGGTGAAGTAATTCTCGAAGTTTCGGCATGAGAAACTGGCAGGTGAAGTAATTAACCCTCAAAAAGCTGGAGCGGCGGAGGCGCTCCGCGTGCTACATTTGCAATTTACAGTTGCGATTTTCCAGCCATTTGTATCTAAAAGTTGCGATTTTCCAGCCGGAGCTGCGGGAGCACGCTCCGCGTACTACGTCTGTACTTAAAAAGTGCGATTTTCCAGCCGGAGCTGCAGCAGCCTCCGCGTACTACGTCTGTACTTAAAAGTTGCGATTTTCCAGCCGGAGCTGCAGGAGCACGCTCCGCGTACTACGTTTGTACTTAAAAGCTGCGATTTTCAAGCCGGAGCTGCCGCGGACCAGGGGGGAATCGAACCCGGGACCGCGGGATTGCGAAAGCAGGCGCGCACACCACGAGACAACTTCCAAAAGCCGTTTCGCGAGCAAGAAAATCGCACGGCGCCACAGCGAGAGCGCTTCGACACGCACGATCTCCGCAGAGGGTTCATCGGGCTTCGATTCAGAGACAATTCGCACGGCGCCACAGCGAGAGCGCTTCACGCGCGATTTCGACACGCACGATCCCCGCCGCGGGCTCAAGACAAATTCGCACGGCGCCACAGCGAGAGCGCTTCGACACGCACGATCTCCGCAGAGGGTTCGCCAAGGTCAAGACAAATTCGCACGGCGCCACAGCGAGAGCGCTTCGACACGCACGATCTCCGCAGAGGGTTCGCCAAGGTCAAGACAAATTCGCACGGCGCCACAGCGAGAGCGCTTCGACACGCAGGATCTCCGCAGAGGGTTCGCCAAGGTCAAGACAAATTCGCACGGCGCCACAGCGAGAGCGCTTCGACACGCACGATCTCCGCAGAGGGTTCGCCAAGGTCAAGACAAATTCGCACGGCGCCACAGCGAGAGCGCTTCGACACGCACGATCTCCGCAGAGGGTTCGCCAAGGTCAAGACAAATTCGCACGGCGCCACAGCGAGAGCGCTTCGACACGCACGATCTCCGCAGAGGGTTCGCCAAGGTCAAGACAAATTCGCACGGCGCCACAGCGAGAGCGCTTCGACACGCACGATCTCCGCAGAGGGTTCGCCAAGGTCAAGACAAATTCGCACGGCGCCACAGCGAGAGCGCTTCGACACGCACGATCTCCGCAGAGGGTTCGCCGGCTCAAGACAAATTCGCACGGCGCCACAGCGAGAGCGCTTCGACACGCACGATCTCCGCAGAGGGGTGCGTTTCGTAAGCTCCCGTCGGGCCTACCCCCGCCATAAAAAGAAGAAGAATTAAGAGTCGAGAAGTGAAGGTAGAACAGAAAAGTTAGCTTGTGTTTTTAGGATAGTGAAGTAACACCCGACAAATTAGCTTGTGCTTTAGGTAGAACAGAAAAGTTAGCTTGTGTTTTTAGGATAGTGAAGTAACACCCGACAAATTAGCTTGTGCTAGTTTAGTTGACATGAGAATGCAGGTGAAGTAACAAGCATGAGAAGTTGGCAGGTGAAGTAACTCTCAAAAAGTTGACATGAGAAGTAGGCAGGTGAAGTAACTCTCGACAAGTTGGCATGAGAAGTTGGCAGGTGAAGTAACTCTCGACAAGTTGGCATGAGAAGTTGGCAGGTGAAGTAACTCTCGACAAGTTGGCATGAGAAGTTGGCGGGTGAAGTTGGCAGCCGCTTTTAGAAGAAGAACCCTTCGCAATGCTTCCGGGAAAAAAGCAAAACATGTCAGGCCATGGCAACGTGGGAGCGAGGGTGTGTCATGTACCGTCTACATTAGCGGTATTACCATACTAAACTTAGAACTGGGGCACCCAAACCCGATGCCCATCAATCCGCAAAACTGATTGAGCACAAAGCCGGTACCAACCATAGCCATGGGGTTGTGGCGCAATAGGGACACTCCTTTGATTTACCTTAGAATCTGCAAACACTTGCTGGTGCTCAGCAGGGAATGAGAATTGGAATCACCCCTATAAACCATCCAGCCTATGGCTTCTTTTCAGGGACTCTGCAGGTTCATTCCATTTCTCATTCCCTCCCGATTTCGCAGGGAATTCCCAGGTTCATTCCCAAAAGTGCTGGGTCATTATGCCCTACCTACCGATTTCGCACCAGCCAGAAAAACGGGGCCGAACGGCACACCAAGCCCTTTTCCCCTTGTTTTTTGCGGGAGGGTTCCCCTAAAATAGACTGCAGAAAAAAATGGTACCCTTCTTCTAACCTCTCCACTGGAGGACCCCGCCGGCTTGAGTCCTCCGTGTAACTTCCCGGTGGCTGGGCGCCAAAACAAAAGCGGAGGCCGCGGCACGAGCGCTTGGCGAAGAGGCTTCGGGCCACGCCGAAGGCGGAGGAGGCCGGGGCCCGGCCCCCACCCTTGGGGGGGGGGGGGCGGGGGCGGGGGGTGGGGGGGGGGTTCCAGGCCTCCTGGTCCTCCTGGTCTGCTTCATGGTTTTGGCCTTCTCCACGGTTTCTGGGAGAAGTCAGCAGCCCTGGTCGTGAAACCCTTGAAAATAGAATTGGGAGCCCCGGGAGCGGAACTCAAAGAGGGTCAGCCAGCTGGCGAATCCTCTGCAAACGGGATGGGATGCACCTTCTTTTTGTTGGGGGGTTGGAAGCATGGGGTGAGCTTAGGGAAGAGCCAAGTGTTTCGTGGAGGAGAACTTTTGGGTTTTGAGGGGGAAGAGCTCCAAATCTTATGACTTGAAAGGCACATACTTTTGGGATGAATAATTCAACGGACCAGGGTTGAAGAAGTGCTTGGCTTCGTGCTGCTCAATGTTGCAAGCAGCTTACCTACATGAGTTTGTAGGCATGCATGTTGCCATGCATTCTTGGCCTCCAAAGCTGCATGTTGACCATTCCGGGTGTGTAATTTAGTCAATCTCGAACATGGAATCGCAAAGAATGGTGGGGACCTTTCGGATGGCACATGCAAAGAACGAGCAAGGAACTCGAAGGCCCCGTTCGGCTCTCGCTGCGATCCTGGGCTCCAGGGCTTACAGTTTCCCTTCCCACGGCGAGGAAGCTGGAGGGGTTCCGGGAAAGCTACACCTTCTTTTTGTTGATGGGAAGTTCCTTTTAGCTGCCGAGGTTATGAAAAAAGTCAGAGTAATCAAAAAACTGTTGGCAGGTGGTGGCTGCTGTTTCTCAGTCAGCTGAAGGAGACCTGTTCAGCGCTCAGCTCTTTCAGTCGTCAAGTCGCATGGAAGAGCTACTCGTTACCTGGCAACGAGATCAACTCGGCTCACTTGCTGGGTGCTTGAAGGGTGGGTTTGTTCATGTTTGTTCCAACCGCAAGAACGAACAGTCAACACATCAACTGACTGTTTGGCTGGACCTCTAACCTTTAGCTTTTGGGTGGAACATGCGCACTTTTCACAGCCAAAAAGTGGAGCTCTTTCGGGTTTTTTGGGCGCAACGCAAGCTGCGCACGGCTTTTCGAGGCAGAACCTACCCATCGGAGCCCTGGCCAGAGCACTGACTGCCCTGGCCAAGGCCCCTGGGGGCCGAGAAAGCCCCCGGAAAGAGACTTTTGACTTGGCAGGGCGTCACGCACTGCTTGGAGACATGGCCACGGCTTTCTGACTTTGACTGTGCGGGGCGTCACAGACTATTTGCAGATCTGGTGCTAAGAGGGATTCGGATTCGAGATTGCAGAAAGATAGAGAGAGGGTTGGATGGGTAAGATGCGGAGATACTGCACCAACCCAACGAACATCCTTTCATTTGCCCAAAGTCGACAGATATTTTGGGTGTTCTCATGTCCCATCTTTCGTCAAGGTCCGAAAAGTGAAGCCGTTTCCCAGATCATTTGGTTGCAAGTAAGTCTATGTTTCAAATGCCCACCACGGGTTCCATCGCAGGCGTCAGAGGATGCAGCCCATGCTCAGGCAGGGCGAGAGTTGTGATCATGTCCCGCTATTCGGACTAAGGCTCCTTCCCATTCTGCAAACTCTGCGAGCCATGGCTACGGCACCGGCAGTATATGAACCTTCATTTTTTAACTTAACACTAGGGAGTTTCCAACCCAGGAAAAGGATTCGCCCTTCAGGGAGAAATTCTCACTTTTCATCCTCCGATTGCATGTCTTGCATTTTTGCAGATTGCATGTCTTGCATTTTTTGCACAGCAGCATTGCAATCTCGCCGATGGTATTTCTCATGAGCCCTCAGTTTTTTGGACCCCACCTTCCAATGCGTTCCCACCACGGCGTTCCTTCCCAGACTGCGGACGAGTCCACGGCAGCTCAGATCCGACTGCTGGCTGCCTTGCCCGCAGCTCAAGTACTGGAAAGTGCGGCAATCGGGGCCATGAGTTGAACCAGTTAGCCACTTCCAACTCTAGCACTTGACCCAGTTTGAAAAAGTCTCTGTCATGCGAACGTTATTTGGGTTGATAGAGGAGTGCCAGTTTGAGAATGGAAAATTATACTGGCGAGTTTGTGCAGAGAATGCCATGCTAGAGTCCAGGATTCGGGGTTGATGCCGATGTAGGGCTGCTGATGTCCTTGTTCCTTTGGGAGTCCGGGGTCTGGATGGGCCTGAGTGTGAGGCGAGCGGTCAAGTTGAAGGGAGAGGCAGGCCGGAACTCTTTTGTCAATATGCAAAGTTTGTTTCTATCATGTTCACGGCCGTACTGGAGCCGTCACCTGTACAAAGGGGCGCAGTTCTTGGAGTTTGATATGATACTACTTGACATATGACACCCAGGCCAAGTTGTATGGCCTTGTCTTTATGACTGATGCCGTTTCTGCCTGAGGAAACAGCACAACGCAAATGAGTCAGCAAGGCAGACAAGCGCAACAATACACACATGCACCGCAAAGCACCGCAAAAACGAAACGGGAAGAGGCCTTGCTCAGGCAAGTCGAGTTGCAACCTCGCAAAAGACTTTGGGTTTGCAACCGGCAATCCACGAAGATTGCTTTCTTGGAGATCCCTTGTACTGTGGATGGACAAAATCCTGCACCACTTTGAATCATTGAAACCATGGGACGCCATTGCTTGTGGGTATTTTTTACAGAGGCATCCTCATCCTGGGTTTTTTTAGGTGGTGCAGGATTTCGTCCATCAGGTCGGTGGATCATTCGCCCAGAGCTGTCATTTGGGTGCGCAGGAGTCCACGGACATTCCAGCCTTTGAGCTCTTGCACAGTGCGGAGAAGGCGCGCCTCTGGGGCATCCTGGGGCGGGTTCGTGTTTTTGGGGACACCGAGAGCCTTGAGTGTTGGTCTGATATAGACATTGACAATAATTGACTGAGCTCAGATCAGGCTTGAGATAGCAGATGGCCCTGCAGCGCTCACAGAGTACGACAGTTCCGCGGAGCTATCAGATGCAAAGTTAGATCCTTAAGTTCCCTTTGGTTGTTGCCAGTTTTGCTGGTAGGTTTGACCCGGGATTAGTCAACCTGGCGCAAGGGGTGGTATCTCCTCTTAAATGGGACATCCCCCGATACTCAGCTTACCCGTAGTTTGTGGTTTGGATGGTGGTCTGGGAGTGGTCTGGGGATTTGAACCTCCGGTTCTGTAGAGGGTAAAATGGAAACCAAACCAGCACCTCAGGGCCAACATCAGATTGCCAGCCCTTGCAACACAGGAAGACCGCTAGTCACAGATTGCCAGGCCACCTGAAACCTTGTTTTGAAGCGTCTAGCGCGAAACACCCAACTTTCTCCAAATCCGAATGTTTTGAACTTTTGGCTGAAACTCTGGGGACAACTATCTGCAAAAAGGCCCAAATGGTTCAAGCTGTTATTGCCCTCATGGGAAGAGAGTGCCATTGGGCGCCAAACAACCCGTATGTTGTTTTCTCGAGGACGCGGCAAGACGCTGGTGTTTGTCCCCACGCCTGGCTCACTCATAAAGCTTGGTGTGTGAGCACAGTGCTTGACGCTGCACCTAAGAACTGGCACCAAGCACTGTAAATAGTGAGACTCGAAACCCCTGGTCCCATACCCTTGGGTAAATCAAGAGCAGGCTGTAGTTGCTCTGGCGTATGTGCCGTGGGAAATGTTGACTGTAGTCAAGGGGAACTACGTCTGGTACACACCAACATTACACTGGCAACTGAAGGTTTCTCACCAATCCAAGACCGTTGGGGGACAATTCATATTGAGCTTGTCGTGCATTCTCAGAATAGGTTGCCCCTTCCGGGACTGTTGTTTTCCAAGAGGAAAACCATGATTTTTGTTCCGCAACTGGATTTTCCAAGCTCACGCCGTTTCCCGGGGGAACAAAATTCCAAGGCTCCCAAGTCTGCAGGTCCAAGAGCTTGGAGGCGCGGATGGAGGGTTGGTTGGGAATTCGTGAGGTCAATTCGCATGTACGGAACCACGTTTTGGGGGGGGAGTTTGTCAGGGAAACCAAAAGCAAGCCATCAGTTTGGGGGACTCTCCATGTTTGGCTTGCGCTGAAGAAAGTCCTGCTTCTTTCTTTGGGTTATCGGGAATGATCAGTAATCCCCTCATAGAGATTTCAGACAGCCATTGAAAAAGGCTTCCTTCCACGCGAGCCAGGCCCATGTTGTCCAGTTCTCTCAACGCATAATACCACACGAGGACAGATCTGTGTCTTCCAGACCCCTTTGTGGTGTGGCACGCATCACGGTGGTTCGCTTGCAGGGAGGCCTCATGGCTTGCTGATTGGTTTTGGTGAAAAAGCAGCCATACCCTCCCAGCTTTCAGATGGCGGGGTCAAGACTTTCTTTAAATCCAAGCATTTAGATTGCCGAACCCCCAGCTCGGAACATTTGGCCTACAGCGCGTGTTGTCGGGAACAGCCCCCACCATGTGTCGTTGGATGCGGATCATTCCCAGACACCGCCCCTGCGAAGGCAAGATAACCCGAAAGAACGCTATGGCCGTTGCCGAGAATCAAAGACATTCCAAGCTCGCTTCCTCAGTGTTTGGACTCGGTGCCGATGCAAAGTTCTGCGATTTGTCATCGACGGGGTCTTAAAATGTCTTCAAACGCCGATCCTCGCATGGAGCAGTAGTTCAGAGAGGGGGTGTGGGATGACGAATCAACTAGGAAGGCCCAGTCCCTGCTAGCATTTGTTCAACGCATTCTCCAGAATGATGCCTGCGCCGTTGAAGTGGCTCTGCCAGGTGACAATCCAGACGACACCGTGCTGGTGCAGAGAACTGCTGCAAACGCCTCAGCTGACAGGCGATTCCGTAAGTTTTGCCCAACCAATTCCAACCATAAAACCCTGGAGTTTTGTCCTCGTTTCCCTACTTCGGCATTTATTGCATTCACGGGACTGGATATGCCACAAACTTTCAAATCGGCTTTAAAGTAATGACATGATCGAGAACATGTCACAACAGCTTCAACCTCCAACTTTCATTCAGGGTTTCTGGGCGAATAGCATGCTGACGTCGCTGGCGCGCGTCGTTTGCTGCGCGAAGGAGTATCCAGTATTGCATGTTGCTTGCCATGTTAAGAATCGGCATCAGCGGCTGATCAAGATAATTCTTAGAAAGGTGAAGTTCATTGAGCTGATGCTTCGCATGCCCTTGTCCTCCATCTAAGGCTGCCCGGATCCTGGCAAGCAAGGCCGCGCACGCTGCAAACAAGGAAGGAGGTGCCATCCTCAAGCGCGGACGCCATGTCCTTATTCGAGGGAACCCTTTGCGGGTTGGTTTATCGGGAAACCAAAAGGAGGCCACCATTTTGGAGGAGGTCCCTCCATTTTGACACACACACACTACCCATATGGATTTTGAGAGTATGGGAGAGAATGCCAGAAAAAGGCCCTCAATGAGGCCTTGTTACGGGTTTACCAGGTGATAGCTCCTCCCCATAGCCCTCTTTGAAGGTCAATGTGCATTGACATAAAGCACGGCTTGGGGTTGTTGGCCAGGTCCTCAAATCAACCGCCTTGATGTAATGGTTAAATGGAGGCGCAACAGGGATAATTGGCCGCGTCGCTCAAAGAAACCTCGGTTCCAAGAAGCAGCACTTGCTGATAGACTGGTACAAGCTCCTTTAGCTACTTTGTCGCTCTCGACTCAGGCATGATCGAAGCTGGCTTTACTCTTCCTGATGTCCTGAGGCCTGACACGTCAAGCGATCGAAAGTGCATTGCTACGGGCTCCCCTTGTGCACCACTTTGCGCAAGTTGGGAGAGTATCATCCCTTTGCCGACTTAAGCATATCCCTCCCTCCAAAGCCAGATGCGAGCATGTGCAAGCAGCAAGCGTATTTTTTCAGGCAGGCTGCCCACGATGGCACTGGCCCTTTGGCTTGGCCAACTTTTGGCGATTCTTTGGCCGCGGGGAGGTTCTTACTACTTCCGGGCACCGCCGGCCGCGACATGCTGTTGCCGGGGACCCTGAGCCGGAAGCCGAATGAGCTGGTCGGTGGTATGACCTTTCTCCTGTACCCAGGCTTTGCTGGCTGCTAAATGGGCATTTGTCAGAATGGATTTATTTTCAGCGGTCTAGGTGAACAGACGCAGGGCGGGCGTGTGTTTGGATCCAACTTCCGGGGAGCAGCCCGCAGCAACGGCTGCCCATGGCATTGATTTGGGCTTGGCTCCAACGAGTGGAGGCGCTAATAAGTGTGTTTGTTTGTTTTTGTTTTTTTGGGTAGCAACCAAATGACATGGGTGCTTCTGCCACATTTATGAGGGCTTAAACGGAGAAGAAACCACAACAACCAAAGACTGACCAGGTCACATCGGCCACTCGGGATCCCGAACTCACTTGACCCCATTTGTCCATTCATCTCAATTGTAGGGTCGATCCATGCACGTCTCCATTACTCGCCTTGCAAAACCCAGATTAATCGCCCTCCCTTGGGCTTGAAAATTGCAATCCCCACAAATGCGCGTGGCAAAAAACCCGCAAGTTTCGCAACAGCAGGGCGCCTTGCAGCAGCTAGTTTCCGCATCCGGAGTTGTATTTCTCAACGTGTATTGCCGGGTGTGTTTGTTTTGTACGTTTAATTAAAACCAATCTTGTAGTGTTTGGCTGGGATTGCCCGCCATACAACTATATAGCTTTGTTCAACAGACACCAACGGGTAGAGGAATCTCTTCTTGCAGACCCCTTTTCAGCAGCAAGTGGCTATGTGCGTGTCTCTGTGTCGAGGATCCCTTTCAGGCTTTGCCTTCAAGAAAGACTACAGGAAAACCGGGCCCATCTTGTCGCTTCCACATTTGTCAGAGACGAACCCAAATGGGTGTGGCTCGAAATTAATTAAAGACCTATTGTTACGCAGGTTATAGTCTTAGTTTCCATTTAGCAAGGTGCCGTTGTTGTACATGTCTTTCAGCCACAGACAAATGAGAAAACGCCAAACAAATCTTGGAAGGCGTCTCGTGGCGCGCCGAGATGTGCTCAGGGCCACAGCCTGCGTTCCACTGCCAGCCCCCGAGCTTTGTGAGCGAGTGGAGGTCAGATTTTGGCTCCCTTAAAGTGGTTGCAGTGTGAGGGGTTCTCGGAATTGCTTTGGGGGTGGTGTCTCATTGGAAAGCCGTTTGAAGGGTGAGTTTTGGGGATGCCACTTTAATGGACTCAGGGAGTGGGTGCTTCCTGGCATCAAACCCCTGTGGTTGGCGCCTGCTTCCGGAGAATCAAAGGGAGCCTAGGGCACACCCAGGAAGACGCCTTTCGAAGGTCGAAGCTTTTAAACCATATGTTTTCGTGCTGTCGGACACCAAAGTCCTAAAGCGACTGGCTCAACGACCTCCCCTGCGTGCAAAGCGCTTCGAAAGTTCTGGAAAAGCTTCAGGTTTGAAGGCCGCAGGCTTCCAGAGCAGCGGGAGGCGTGAATTTCGGCGTTGCTTGGGTCCAGTGGCCTAGTGAGGTTGAGGACGAATCTTGGACATCGGACCTCCGGTGGCTTTTTCTGCAAAGGTTCGGGGGGTCCCCGTACTTTCCGATGGTGATTTAGGAATGCTATTTGTAGAATCATGTTCCTTTGGTGGTTGGGAGACTGCCAAAATGGAACTGGAGGACACCCGCCTCTATTCCCCTGTTTTCTGGACCCAATGAACAAAAAGAACTCTTCCCTAGGGTGAAACTCTTCATTTGAGTAACCAAAACCCGGTATTAAGATGGTCGACCCAGTGTTTGGGATCCAAGCCACTCGCCTTCACTTACAATCGGGTTGTGATTGTGACTCGCTTGAGCCCGGCAAAAGCGCCGCCCGAGTCGCCGCCCCTCGCTCGAGTCGCTGGCGCGCGTCGCCAGGTCTTGCGCACCGCCAAGGAGCGGAACTCCACGAACCTGGCGGCGGCCGCAGGCACGGCGGTGCTCAAGACCCTAAGCCGCGGAGGCGCGGGAAAGCTTTCAGCGCGTTTTTCTTGGCGGCCGTGGCTTGCGGTGGTGGGGTGGAAGGAAGGGGTCCATGTTTGGATTTGGAGTAAAGATAAACTGGAACCCATGGGCTGCCCTTTTTTAGGGAAATCCAAGATATGAACAGATGTTCTAGACCATGCCCTTAACAGCATTGTGGGGTGCAATGCGACTAACTTATGGTTATGCAAAATGTGGCTTTATGATGCCAGTTTTTGTGGAACAAAGACACTCCCCACTCCCCATGAAAGTGACAATGTAGTCATGGGTTAGCAACCATATTTACCGCAAGTGTTGTTGTTCGGGGAGCTCTCAGCACCCCCCCCTTTGAAATACACCCAGAAAGTACCATCCGGACAAAGCACTCCCCCTCGTGAGGTTAAATCTATGGTCTAACATGCAGGCTTTAGGACATGGGGGGGACTCACCAGCGCTTCCCTTGACATGCTGAGGGTGGTTGTTTTACCTGGTCGCATTCTTGAGAAGTGCCCATTGCTCCAAAAACAAACTATGAGTCGCAAAGAGCGTCAACGCTGTGTCCTGCGGAAACGTAGGAGGATCATGCAGAACTTTGGCGTGCGTGGACAGGTTCAGGTTGCAGGGACTGGGTGTGGACCGGAGCGTGCAGGTGGGCCTACCGACCATGTGGCAGCCACTGACGACCATGTTGAGACTGTCCAGGGCTGAGCGGCAGAGAAAGGGCACGGGGAGAAGAGGCTTGCTGTGTTCTCCGCAAAGTGGATGTTTTGCGGCCAAGGTTCTCAGGTGGGTGTACTAGAGTGGGGTGAATGTACAGTCGGGTGGGTGTACAATGGGGTGGGTGTAGGTTGACTTTGTTTGTTTTGTTTATGTCGAATGAGCTGTGCAGACGTCCTTCAAGGGCGGCAGTCTCAGGGAGGGAGTGCGAGTGGCGGGCTGCTTTTCTTGGGCTAAAGGGACGTGGTTGCGTGGTTGGTCCCTGCGGCTCTTGAAGGACCATGTCAGCCAAACCCTACCTAATGCAGCAGCCAGATGTTGGCCCTTGCGGATTTTGCAGCTGCCATCCGGGGTCAGCGTTAGGTCAAAGAAGTGGCCCAGTGCGGCGTGAGGCGCGCGCGCATGCTTGCTGGATCTTAGAGGTCTTTGTTTGGACGTGTTCAACATCACCTGTACCATCAGTTTCCCGGCAGGGTGATGTCAGATCATTGACCCCGGATCAATCAACCCCCCCCCCCAAAGAAAAAAGTGTTCCGGTTCGCCTCTTGAATGGGACATCTCTCCAGAATGATTCCAAAAGATACATTTGCGCCACTTGTAAAGCAGCTGATCACGAAAGGTAGCCTCAAGGAGGCTAGCTTGAGTTTGCCTGATTGGCAGCTTCGCTCCCTTTTCCGGAAACCCGGGGCCGCTCTTTTTTGCTTCGCTTCACCGTTTTGCTCTTGTGTTAGGCCGGTCCACTTACGACACACTCGGGGATCCTATCGTGTCTCCCCTTCTCCAGTTGGAGGATCCCCTTGGCATGCGCAATGACGTGCCTAAGCAACGAGAGGAACACCACAGCATGGAGGTTTGGGATGGCCAGACTTGCTATGCAATCCCGTGTGTGAGGATCCCCTGGTAAAGCAGGTCCTTCAAGCAACCTGGCTTTTGCGGGGGCACGCACGCCTTGGATCTCCTTTGGAGGCTGCCGGCGGCAGCTGCACTGCTCAGGTTCGCTTCGCTTGGGTTCGCGGTTCGAGGAACGAAAGGCCTCCAGGCGGCCTTAGGTTTTGTGGATGTTTTGCGTTCTTGCATAGAGAGTGCTAAGGAAAAGCAACCAGGGGAAGGAGATCATTCCAAGATAGTTCCATTACAGGAGATCATTCCAACCAGGGGGACTAGTACTATCCTTGTGTTTGTCTCTTTGATAATTTTGAGGGGCACTTCCTTGGTGGTTTGGATTGGTGGGGGTTGGAACCCCTTGTTCTGATCGTGGTTGATGTGCTATTATTTGGGTTTAAAAAGAAACCAGGAGGAAAGCCGTAATCCATTTTGGCGGTGCCCCTATTGTAAGACATACCAGAGATACAACATCACCGGTTGGGATATGTCAAAACAAGTTTCATTTTGGAAAGGTGCTTTGTTTCAAGGGGACGGAAAAGGATCCCTGACCCTTTCCACAAGGAAGGGCTACTTTTGGAGGGTCCATGTTTGTTGGTGGGAGATATCCTCTTGGTTTTGAATTTGGTTCGAGTTTGCTTCAAGGTCAACAGTCAAGCTGTTGTTTTGTTTGTCGAACCCTTCACTTAGCGAGCTTGCCACGCTTGAGATGAAGGCTTGAGCAGTGGCAATGGGCAAAATCAACCAGGAGCGAGTGGTTCCCTGGCGGTTCGCTTCAAAATGAATAGAATAAGTACTCGCTAAAGAAGATAGGCACGGTTGTCTCTAGAAAGTGACACTACGTGGCAGCTCAGCGGTGGGAGGCTTCTTGAGTTGGTCGCTTATTGTTGGGTTGGTTGGATGGTTGCACAAATACAGATATACTCGCATGGACTGGTCAGTCGTTTGGACAGTTGCTGAATGTTGATCAGGTCGGATTGTTGGAAGATTACAGGGTTGGATACGTGGTTGTACGGAGGAATGGTTGGAAGAATGGACACTGCACATGGGCACCCTGCTTTTTGACGCTTAGTCACTTACAGCGCCTTTCAATGTTCCACCGCTGGAAGATGTTTGGAACCTAGCTGTCCCAGTCGTGCTATAGAACGATTTGTATTATTGTATGACCAGAGACCGTTGTCAACGGGCTTCTTCTCTAGGACATGTTTTGGATGCGCATGTGGGCCCACCTGGCTAAACGAGTGCTAAACTGCACGGTTGTGGCAAGGGGCTATGTGTCAAAAGTAAAGGTTGCCAGACTGAACTGATTTGTTGTAATTAAATGCGTCACGTTGCCCGCCTTGGCCGGTATGCTTTTGGCTGGCTTTGAGGGAGGGGGATTTGACCGGTTTCTAGGTGGATCTGCCCGATTTCTTGGGGGATTTGACAGGCTTCTAGGGGGCTTCTAGGAGGCGTTTGACAGTTTCCAAGGTGGAATTTGACTGGTTTTTAGGGTAGATGTGACCGGGGGTTGGACATGATTTGACAAATTTGCAGTTTCTATCAAGGTTCTAGGAGGTGTCTCTTCCTCGTTCAAAAAAGGCAGACGTGGAGGCCAGGGTTGCCGACCTTTCAGGCGCATGGCCGCCACTGCCAAGCCGCTGAAGCTGGCGCGGGGCTGGGGGAAGAAGTCTGCGACTTGAGCTTGGAGCTGGTTTTCCAGGGCGGTCGACTTCCGTTTAAGATTTTTCAAAAATATATTGTTTTTTGCTAATCTCGTGTATTGTTTGCTGTTTATTTGGCTATGAGTTTGAGGAAACCCAGCCACTCACAATTCTGCACTGACACATACCCAAATGGTTTGCTTCATGGGTTCTAACGTGGCGCGCAAGTTCCGGAGTTCCCCAATTTTTAGGGGCCCGCCATCTTGCGACAGATTTGGGGGTGTCTTGGAAACAGGAGGGGGCTCGACCTTAGGGTTTCGCTTCCTGAGCCACCGGAGGGGTTTTTGAGCTTCGCGAGGCGGAGGCCTTGATGTCGCTGGCGCAGCGCTGCGGACCCGGCCAGGCAAGAGACCCGCTGCGGCTGTTTCGGGGCTCCCGCGAGCTTTTGGCTTTGTAGGGAGGGCCTTGAAGAATTCGCTTGGGCCACTGAAAATCCCACCAGCGGATTTTAGATGGAGGGTCTTCCTGCGGTTTTGAGAGGCCTGTTTTGAGTTTTGGGTGAGGGAGGATGGAGTGCGCGGGGCAAACGCAAAAGGGTGCCGGCCACACGTCAGTGGTGCAGCACGGGGCTGTATTGAAAGAGGCGGCAACGGGCTGATACCCCTTGGCCACTAGAGATAGCATGGGGACGTTTTGTCAATCATGAGAGTGGACAAGGCCAGAGTTTTGTTTTTGATTTTACCACGTAGATGAGAAGAAGCCATTCTGGGGTCCTCTATTTAGGTGTTTGTCAAAGTAGGAGGCCTCCAAAATGGGTCTGTGTTTTTTTACCGTGTCAGTTCTTTAGTCTTCGTGGGAGGTGGGGCTTGGGCGAGCGAGCCATACCCCCGAATCATACCCCGAACCATACCCCCGAGCCATACCCCGAGTCATACCACTTAAAAAACACAAAAAAAGAACTTGCAAGAACTGTGGCATTTGCATGTGATCCGGAAGCATAGTGGGTTTAACTTCAAGTGAAGAAGGGGGTCTTGTCAAGAAACAGGATTAGAGAGCTTGACATGTGGGCCGATGCCAGGGGGTAGGGACTCCGAGGACATGTCCACTCACACACTCACTGGTTACTCGTGGGGGGCCATGTTGGCTCAAGTGGTGTTCCTTGAGTCTCGGCTTGCTATTTTCAATGGAAAGTGCCAATGGATGGAGTTATAGAGCAATCCTGCGGATGTCCTGGTACTAGAGTTGTTTGTAGCACCCGTGGTGCTGTGGCGGGGGGTGCAGCTTGACGTAAGACGCTGGGACTTGCAGGGCGCTGTGGCGGGGGGTGCCGCTGCTGAGCTTCAAACTTGGAGCTTGCTTCCTGACGCGGTGGAAACAGCTGTCTGTCCTGGGCCACTGTCGCAGTGAAACACAAGCTGTCTTTGTGCTCTTGGGGTAGTCCTGGTGTCTTTCCGGTCGAAAAAATCTGTCCCCCGATTCATACCGCCGATTCATACCCGATTCATACCCCGATTCATACCCTTCTGCTGCCATTTGCAGCCAAGAGCCTCTTGCGCTCTGGGCAGTACTATGCCGCCCAAATCCCCAGAAGACACAAAATGACTGGGCAGCGGCGCTTCCCCTTAAGCAACGCTTGCTTGGGTCTGTGAGCACGCGGGTCGCTTGAACTCCAAGTGGAGGTGGCCATGACGTTCGCCTCAGGCAGTGGCTCTGCGCCTTCCACCTAGCGCAGCAGCTTTCGCTAACCCACTCACGCAGAGTGGCAGCTGTCTAGTTCAGGCCACTCACAAGCGCCCCAGGCTGGCTTGTAGCAACTAAGCGGTCCAAATTCTCACGGCTATCCAGTTGCCAGCGCACGGGAGCTTTGCAGTGACCAAAGCCACAAGGCCGAGCCATACCCCGAATCATACCCCCGAGCCATACCTCGAACCATACCTGCGATTCATACCCCTTATACCAACCTCCCGGCACGGCCACGTCAAAAAAACACATACCCAAATGGTGGGTGTCCGTTGGCTTTCCCTGCAACCAACCTTGAAAAATGTACCCTCACAACACACAATTTGGAGACAACCCCACATCCATCTAGGACACTCACGACTTTCGGCAGGCTGAAGATCTGCAAGCCATTGCCGAAACCTTGGCCAGCAAGGCACATGGGAGGGAAGTTGCTGAAGTTGCTTGTTCTGCCACCTAAGAACCCATTGCAAAATTACCAGAAACCACAAGGGGATGGAAAGTTGATGTTTTCTTGCATTCTTGCTTGCTTGCTTGCTTGCATTCTTGCTTGCTTGCTTGCTTGCTTGCTTGCTTGCTTGCTTGCTTGCTTGCTTGCTTGCTTGCTTGCTTGCTTGCTGGCTGGCTGGCTTGCTTGCTTGCTTGCTTGCTTGCTTGCTTGCTTGCTTGCTTGCTTGCTTGCTTGCTTGCTTGCTTGCTTGCTTGCTTGCTTGCGTGTGTGCTTGCTGGCTTTGCGTGGTTGGTTGGTTTGCGTGCTGGCTTGCTTGCTTGCGCGTTTGTTTGTTTGTTTGTTTGTTTGTTTGTTTGTTTGCGTGTGATTGCCTGTCTTTACATAGACCGTGCGTGCGTGCGTGCGTGCGTGCGTGCGTGCGTGCGTGCGTGCGTGCGTGCGTGCGTGCGTGCGTGCGTGCGTGCGTGCGTGCGTGCGTGCGTGCGTGCGTGCGTGCGTGTCTGGGTGGGGGGGTGGGTGGGTGGGTGGGTGGGTGGGTGGGTGGGTGGGTGGGTGGGTGGGTGGGTGGGTGGGTGGGTGGGTGTCGGCGGGTGTCGGCGGGTGTCGGTGGGTGTCGGTGGGTGTCGGTGGGTGTCGGTGGGTGTCGGTGGGTGTCGGTGGGTGTGGTGTGTCGTGCTTTGTTTGCTTTCGTGGCGCGTTTGTGTCATTGCCTTTTGTGTTTGCTTGTTGGATCACCATGTGTGTGTGTGTCCTTGATTGTTTGTTTGTTTGGTTTGTTTATTTGTCCGTTCGTTTGTTTGTTGGTTCATTTGTGCGATTGGTGTGTTTGTTTTTTTGGTTGGGTGGCTGCTTGCTTTGCTTGCCTGCCTGCCTGCCTGCCTGCCTGCCTGCTTGCTTGCTTGCTGGCTTGCTGGCTTGCTTGCTTGCTTGCTTGCTTGCATTCTTCCTTGCCCGCTTGCTTGCCGGCTTACTGGCTTTTGTTTGGGTTGGTTAGTTGGCTGGTTTCTGTTTTTTTTTTGGTTGCGTGACCCTGACCCAAGTTGTTCAGAGGCGGGCCCGCCATTTTCCACCTGGTTCCAGTTGAAATGCCAAGCGCAAGCCGGTGAAGATAAGACGGAAGTCAAGCGCAGCAGTCCCACATTGGCCCCTTCTTTCAATGGGACCTTTGGACATCGCCAGGGCTTCGGCGATTTTTCCCCGGAGCTCTTGCTGGAGATAGTGCTGGCGCTGGGCATCCCAACTGTTGCATGGAGACACCCTGCCTCTCGATGGTGGATACAAGGAGGGCGTCTGACCGGATTGTGGATCAAAGGAGGTTGTATGGGCGGCAAGAGGAGCAACCAAGGGCTTGTTCGGGAGCGGGTCCGGCCAGCCGCAGATTTGTCATGAGATTCCTGGTATTTCGCAACTGGGATCTCCAGTGATTTGACTGTGGGTCAAAACCAATGGTACCATTTTTGGGGTCGGTGCACCACCCATTTTAGAACCCATTTTAGTGGTTGGATTGGGATGTTCACTGGGGGTACGATATTGCTTTTGATGGCCATTTGCCTTGCGAGCACTTTGTGGCCCGGTTTCAGTTGACAGAGCCCTAGGTCCTCAAAGAACGAAGTGCTCGAAGCGCTTGTGCTGCCAGCAGCGCGCCTGGCAGATTTTTTTCTCGAAGCTCGGAAGGGCCGTTCGGTTGGGCCCAGTGTTGTTGTAACACCATGCGTGTTTTTTGGTTGTTTTCGTTGTTTGGCTTTGTTTTCTTTTCGGCAAAGCACCGCAGGGTTGAACCCTGCGGCGTGCAAGGCAGGACTGAGACGGGGCAGCCTCTCATCGCTTTGAGCGGCTTCAACCAGGGAGGGCTCATGTTTCAAAAGTCTTACCGCATGGTTGTGGACACCAGATTACATTTCTCAAGCTTGGCAGCTTGGACCAATCGCTTGGCTCAATGCCAGGCCTCCGCCGCAGCCAACATCCTGAGCAAATGGTCTTTTGAGGATGCGCGGGCCCAAGCTGACCGTCAACAAGGCCTCGCAGTAGCGCCAATTTGAACTTCCTGGGTTCCCATATCGGTCCTCTGCCAAATGGAGTCTGCATGGAAATGAATCGTGGAAGGCAGGCCATCACGCAATTGCGTGATGGTCAGAAGACAAGCCTGCCAGCCTTGCTGGTCAAGCAGCTTGGGGCGCTGGATAGCGCGTCAAGTAAGGAATGCAAGTTGGGAAGAATATGATACTAGCTGCCAAAAGCAAGTCAATGCTTTTCCATCAGCTTGCTTGCTTTGTTTGGTTTCTTATTGGTGCGCCTGGTAATTAAGTTTGTTTGTTATATTCTTCGTTACATTGCTTGTGTGTGTGTGTACTTGCCAGTTTGGTTGCTTGCGTGTTTGCTTCCGTCTTTGCGCTAACGACTGTCGGCCGTTTCGCAGCGATCCTCCGGAACCTCTCAGAATTGTGGCAGTGCGCAGAGCCAGAATTGAGGCGACAAGTGTCGCCCTAAACCTGAAACCCGCTAAACCCTAAACCCTAAAATCCCTGAACCTTTCCCCTCAAACCCGTAAACAACTGGGTGTGGCTCAAACTTAAACAGGAGGGGAAGCGCAGGTTTTGGTCCATTTTTTCTACTTACCAGGGTTCCATTTTGGGTACCGGTTTTTTGAGCCACTGCCAACTCAAACAAACAAAGCAAACCCTAATCCCATTCACCTGAAAACCGCAAACCCCGAGCTCCAAAAGTTCCGGTCCTCAGCCCCCTGAAACAGTTGGGGGAGTGGGTGACCCCTGGAATGCCACTTACGGTTCCATGTGTCCTTTTGTGCGGAAGATTCGAAAAATGGAATTGGGGAAGAGCCTCAAACCCTAAACCTAAAAATCCTTAAACGAACAAATGCTCAAATGGTGACACGTATGTTTTGTGGTCATTCCTAGCTTAGTTTGCTTGCTTGTTTGTATGTTTGCTGGTTCGTTTGCTTTGGATGACGTGAGGGCCACATGTTCGGCAGGTTCTCTCGCACGGGGTTTCACCGATTCGCACGCCGCCCAGATGGTGAAGCTGCTACTGGCCTTGGCTCGGCGCAAGTCCTTATTCTCCCCCGAGGCTTCGGGGCCGCACGCTCGCACATGGCATCGAGGCGCAGGGTCCCCTTTGCCTCGATGGTCAAGTTGGGTCCCCTTTGCGCCTCGATGGTCAAGTTTCAAAGGTGCAACCACCCAGGGGGGAAAACATGGATGTGCTTGAACACGGGGAACAAATCTATACGTGTATGCGTGTGTGTAAGTATATATGTGTATATATATATATATATATTATTTATACATATACATGTAAAGCTTCCTCAGTCTTTCTTGAAAGCAGTTTTTTGAAAACAGTTCTGGTCCATGGTGTTCGAGGCGCTGGCCACTTCCTGCCTTGCTTTGTTGAACACAAAGTCCAATATTTGGCGGCTCGGCAGTTGAATGGAGCGCACCGTTTTGCTAGGGAAGGCACGCCATTTGTTGAGTTGTGTTGCAAGAACGCTGCTAGTTGGTGTCCAATTCACTGCGCAGAACAGCCCCAGATCCCCCAACTCAGGCCTGAATCCAGGGCAGGTACCAGAGAACTTCGCCCACCAACTTGTTCAGAGCAAAGAGCAAAGTTTTACCAAACTTGCTTGACAAAATCACAATTTCTAGATACCACAGGATGAAGCGATGTTTTTTTTCTACTTGCTGGCTTAGAGGACACTCACATCTCACATCCCATGTTTTGAACTTTACTCTGCAGGTAAAATGGAACCAACCAAAGCCGGTTAGGGGCCTGTTTGGTGTCCCACGGAGCATACTTCTTGGTCAGCAAATAGTTCGGATTTTGTTTTCCAAGCCACTCAAGAAGAGAGGTGCCCATGGAAAGAAACACGTCGACACCTTTTGGTCCCTATTGTTGGCGTCCTACGGTCAACCCGAAACGGGGAGGCCCATTGTTTTATGGCACCCACAGTTTCCACCAGGTGGCTGCTGCCTTGAGGGGCGCCGCCGGATGCTTGGTCCAGTGGGAGCATCCTAGACCTAAGCAGGGTTTGTTTTATCGACTTCTTTGGAGGGTACCATTGAGCCCATGAACGTATGATCTGGCAGCTTGCGTGCTCGCTTGCATGCTCGCAAAGCGCGGTGACTCGCTTGCCGCGCCGGAAGCTTCTTCCGAACCGTGGGCCAAGTACAGGCGCTGAGACGAGCCTTTGAACTTCAGGGACATGTGGCAGGCCACAGCTTTTTCTCAAATTGCAATGGAGTTGTTTAGTGGTTTGAGATCAGGAAAGTCGCCTGCCGCTTTTTGCAAGCGGGCCCCAAGTTGTTTGATGCAGGCGACTTCTGAAGTGAGCTGAGGTGAGTTGAGTCCCATTTGCTTCTGTGTCCCGTGGGTACACCATCGCCGTCCTGGCCTTTGGGCCAAGGTTCCTGGGTTGGTTGCCGGCCCAGGCTGAGAAATGTCTTACGGCAGAGCAGCTGCAACTGCTGTGTTCGAGCCCCAGTGAACAAATGCGTGTAATGTCGACCACTCGGGTACCGCCCATGGGGGACGAGGGCTGTACAGACCCCTTCTATTTTTTGGCGCGCAGAGTAAGTGAATCATTCTTGATTAAACAGGGGGGTGTCTACCTAGGAGAGAACCCTTCACTTGTGGGAAACACGCCCCTTCCGGGGCCGGCATCGGCCCGCAGCAAGGAAGCATGCAGGCGTCCATTTTCCCCGATGCCAATTTTAGGTGTTGGCAGTCAACTTTCCATGACAGTTCCCCTGGCATGAGTAGCCAAGTCACTCCAAAGACCTTTGCCGACCTTTGCACCTTCAGTTTGGACAATCTGCAACGCCACTCCCCGCAGGCAGCTGGCACCCAAGCAAAAAGCAAAGGAAACGAGGGTTTTGAGGCTTAGCCACAAGCAACGCAAGCAGCGCAAGCAACGCAAGGCAGTGCTCACTTGTTCAAAGCGAATCGACCTTTTGACCAATCAACCAATCATGGTTTCCTTCATGTTTGGTTCATGCTTAGGGGTCTGCAAAGGTGATTTCAGCTTTTATTTCCAGGTCCGCACTGGGCAAGCAAATGGTTGTCGGGAAGCACGTTACATTTTGGCTTATTGTGGTGTAGTGGTTGAAATCCCCACTCAACTGCTATTTTTTCAATTTTGCTCCCCTTCCACCGTCAACCTTAAGAAACGTGTGGGTGTTCCTCACACCAAACCCCCCAAACGCCTGGAGGCCCGCACGACCTGGCGGGCATGGCGCTGGCCGCGCTGGGCCACGGCTGGGTGGAGCTGCAGGAGGCAGCAAAGTTCTCGGGGAGCCATGCCTCGGGCCATGCCTTTGGCCGGTGGGATGGCCTCACCCGGCCAGTGGACACACTTTACACCTTTTTTTCTTGGTGGCTTCCCCTGAAGTTTAGTGGCCGAAAAGTGTAGACTTTTTTGGGCAGGCCACTGGCTAAGTGAGCCTCAGCATTGCGTTTGCCTCCTGAGCCTTTGACCCATCCCCAAGATGTGATGTGGGGTGACAATGGGTCCCAATTGATCTGCGCCATGGTTCCCCTGTTCCAGGGATCCTCTCAAGAGTACTTTTGGTGGTTGGAGATCCCCTGATGTGAAACCCATCTCATGGCGCAGGATGAGGTTCCCCTGGCCTCGGGTTCCGGCCGGTCCAGTCCTTTCCTGTGCGATGCCTGTTTGGCGAATAGGGCTGTAGGGAAGTAAGCCAGGGCTAGATAGGGCCAGAGGATTTACTTATTCGGGGGGGGGGGCCTGGCCTTGATGTCAACCCCCTTGTTCTGTTTTCACAAATTGAGATGATAAATGTGCTGTTTCCGGCAAGCCGTCGTTTTCGATTTCTAGAATGGCAACCCTTGAGACTATGACAGGAGTTAGATTGGCAATACCTTCGGGAATTCAACACTACGTTTGTCAGTATTTTGGGACTTTTGGCCGACGTTTTATCAGAGGGGGTTCTGGGACCCGGGAGGTGCCAAGAACGAGCTCTGAGAGGTGCCTTTAACGTAGTATTGTCTGGCTTTTGGCTGGAGAGAAAACAGCGCATTCATTCACAATACTGGATGGACGAATTCCTGCACCGCCTAAGAAACCCTGGAATGATGATTCCAGTGCAACTATCAACAAACAATCGTTTGGAATGATTTCAGTTCGTGGTGCGAAATGGATTTTGTCCATCCACAGTAGCACCTGGGGATTCCCTTGAAGCAAACCATCAGGGATGGTTTATAAGGATCATTCCAACTCATTCCCTACTTATCGCACCAGCAAGTTTACAAGGAACCAACATGGCTGTGGCTCAAATAAATATACCCCAAATGGCAGCTTGGTAAATGGAAAGACTAAAGCCTGTTGTCCATCCACGGTAGGGGTTCAACTTGCTGGGGCTTAGGGAATGAGGGAATGAACCTGGGGATTCCCTTGAAGGAAACCACCAGTTGGATGGTTTATCTCGGGCTCGTTCCAACTCATTCACTACTTATCTCGCCAAGTTTAATCATGTGGCCATGGGTTAAAATCCAAATCGTACCCCCAGTGAACATCCGATTCAATCCCCACTAAAATAGGTTCTAAAATGGGTGGGGAATTCACCGATCCCCCAAAATGGGATCCCCAAACGGATTTAACATCCATTTGCCAGCTATTTTGATGTTGAGGCCATGTGCCATCGTCATTTTTGGCCTTGCCAGGCCACCTCGCAGGAGCTGCTGCGGCGCTTGCCGCACTTCCCGGCCAAGGACCTGCTCACCGCCGGCGGCCTCGGGGGATCGGGGCGCTGAACTTTTTTGGATCAAAGTCAGAAAATGGGGTTGTTTCCCTTTGACCCACCACTGACTGGGTGACTTTGATCATGGTGCAAATTATGAATCCAGTTGAAATTGATTCGCTCAATGCCCCCGGAGCCTAGTTTCAAGCCCTTACAAAACGAGCCTGAGTGGCTTTGTTGACACCCGCATGTGCAAAGAATGAAAAAGATAACTATGATGGTAGCAATAATAACAATGGCATGCGGTATGTTAGTGTATTTGATGGTGTCTTGCGGCTGATCTGCCGAGAAACAAGAGATCTTCAGGGCTCGATGAAATATCAGCAAATCGAGAGAGATGGGCGATCAACAGCGCTTTGGGCCATTGTTGTGCGTGTTTCAAATATTCAAGGTGGTGGGCTCCCCTTTTTCTGTTTTGGCCAACATGGTTGCTAAAGGGATATGTACATGTGCGCCAGCGGAAAATCGCTCTTACCAACTTGGCGAATCCTGTGTGAGCAACCCGCCACTAGTGGATCATGTCATGTACGAGTCTTCCAGCTAGGTGACGCCGGTGCTGCTGCAGGTGGCGGTTTGCTTTCGGAAAACTGAGTAAATGGGATTGGGAGCCCGCAAGCTTCTCCCTTTCTGGGGCTGTGCCGAGAACATTTGCGAGATGTTGATGTTCAAGTTTGGCAAAAAAAAGCAATCGGACCGCCTTCCCGGCCTTCTGTGTTCCCACAGACAAGGTGGTTTCGGACGATGTTCTGGCTGAAGGAGAACCTTTCTCCCCTGGATTCTGCTGGGTGTAGCTCTTTGGGTTCTAGTGGCTTACTCGAAGTTTGCTGTGCTTGCAAGATGGGTCAAAAATACGTACCCACAATGGAACCCTGGTAAGTGGAAACATGGACCAAAACCTGCGGTCCAATTCCTGGTGGATTAATTTTGACCCACACCCAGATGTAGCATGATGCACACATTTTGAGGAGGTCGGGGGGCAAGACTCTTTGGGGATTTTGGACCCATTTGGAGTGAGAGGCCGCACAGATATACACCAACGTGTCCCCAGTGTTCCGCTTGTATCACGGGATTCCATGTTTCCCGTTCCCATTGATCTAGGTCTGGATAAATGCAAGTCTCTATCATTTCTGCGATCCCAAGAAGGGGGTTTGCAACGTTGCTTTCTTGGCGGCTCTTTATGTCAGGTTGGTGATTAAATTGATTTTCTCCGTACATCGCATCATACAAATCGGTTATCCCTAAACTAAACTCTGGATGGGACATCTTCTTTGGGGGGGAGACCCCTTGTTGGGGTATCGGCTTATTTGGGGAGCCCTTTTGGGCCACGCCTGCCAAAAAGGGGAACCCCTTTGGACAGGACCGGTGCAAAAAAGGGGGCCGTGTGTTTTTTGTTTTTTCTTCCCGCCAGGCTCAGCCGTCAAAGCTCATTGGAGCCTGGCCCAAGGCAGGGGATGCGTCTCGATGGTTTTACGGGGAAACCAAAACTCGCTCCGGCAGAACTGCGGTCTCAAGAAGTTGACCTGCAAAACGGTTGGCGTTCTTTTGCCTTTAAAGCCAAGCCAGGCTTTCACAGGATGAAACAACTAGGCTGGTGGTTGGAAGGGGGCCGAAGTCGGAGCTGGAGGTATCCAATTTTTGGCTTTTGGATCCGATCGGAGTGGTTAGGGACATGCTAGTGCAAACCAATCATTTTCTGGGGTACCCGACTTTGAGACAAAGCCATATGCAGATGGAGGGAGAAGCCTTGAAGCATGTCAACATTCGGGCGTCAAGTGTGCCACTCCGGGTGATCGGTTTCTTCTCGCTTTCTCCTTTCAAGCTTTTCAAGCCACCCAAAAGAGTTCTCGACCACGATTCATGGCCAGGTGCTGTCGGCAAGTGAGCAGCCAGCCAAGGACGCCAAAGCCGCTGCCAAGGCCCGTTTGCAGCCAGCAATGAAAGCGTCAAACCCAAGAGAAGAAAAAATAGTTTGGTTTTTCCGTGGTTTCCTTTGGTAAGCTGTGGTTTCCTTTATCCGGACCCATTTGTTTGTCAATCAGAGATTTTGCGGCCCAGTTTTGTGGCTTTTCCCAAGCAGACTGGACGGAAAGTCGTTGCGGGTATGGGTCGACCATTGGACAAGCAAGGGTGTGTGTGTGTGTGTTAGGGGCGCATATGGAACCTGACCTCGTGAATTTCATGTTTCTGGATGGTACTCCACTTGCTTGCGCTTGCTTGCTATTTTTAGTTGGCTGAAATCAAGTTGGGTGTTCCACTAAACCCCCCAAAAGTGATTCACTTTTTGCCGGGGGGTCGTTGCAGCAACCAAGTCCAAAATTGGGTTTTACACTGTCAGAGCAGCGAGAGGCGAAGTCAGAGGCGCTGTCGGCAGATCAGTGCCTTGGCTCTCGGGCCGGCCGCGAGTTGGTCCATATCATGGTTGTTGTTCTCAGTTGTTCAGTGGCACCCTTTTTCCCTTTTTTTTGTGGCTGCCCCACTAAAAGTGGCCTTCCCCAAAAAGGGCTCCCTTTCTTTCAGGGTCACTGAACAACTGAGTGTTGGGAAACATCTTTCCCATGTTTGAGCTTATTGTGGTGTAGTGGTTGAAATCCCCACTGAACTGCCAAAATTTGAGAATGTTTGATCCCCTTCCAACGTCAACCGAGATATGGGGGGGGGTGTCTTTGCGCGGAGGGCACCCCTTTGTCGGGGGTGTTTTTAAAGGGAAAGCAAAAGGAACACTCCGCCATATATATTAAAAAATGACACAACCAGGTACTAAGCATGTGTTTGTCCAGGACATAGTGTCATGCATAAAATGTTTCGTGAAAATAAGATCAAAACGCTAAAGCGGAGCCTGTCGATGCCTAAAGCTTCAAGAAACAGCATGCTGTAAATACCATCATCTATCTTAGCATGATGTCCTCGAAAAGCACTGTTCTGGTTTAAAGGTTTTCGCGCAACACACGTGCACAAGCCATGCACAGCCTCATAAATTCAAGGCCCAAGGCTCCAACACCTTCACGGCACAACAAAGCAAACTTTGCCGGCATTTCCCCAAACAGTGTTTTTTGTTTTTCTTTTGTTTGTGTAAGGGATACACTGGGTTTTTTTTGGAGCGTCTTCTTCGAAATCTGGCTCGGGACATTTGCCACGCGAACTTCCTATGCCAAAGCGATAACTGTGAAGCTTGTTACCCGATTCTCACGGGATGTATTCCATTTAGCTTGTCGTTTTAGCATCAAGCATCAACGATTTCTTCAAGCTCTGACTTGAGAGCTTTTGGATTCCGACCTGGAAGTGTTTCCTTTCAATCATGCTCATAGTTAAAGCTGCTTGTCAATTCTGGCTCGGGAGACTGGCCTTTTCGATTTGAAATTCAAACATGTTTTCTTCACATTATGACCTGGAAGCTGGTCGTTTTGGGTTTGCTACTCCAACTGCTCATGCTGAAGCATTGGACACCAATTCTACTCCGGTAGCTATTGTTGTGAACATGTGATGCATTTGCTTCAAACTTGCAAGGAAGGACCAGATGGGAATCCTCTTGAGAACCAGATGAGAGCTGAAATGGTTGCATCGGCAGATGCGCTGGTTTGTCAAGCGCTGTTGTCTTGTGCACGTCCGTGTTTATCCATATTTCTCGCAGCTTGCATATGTTCTGCAATGAAAGGGGTGCACACTGCTCACCTTGCAGTTTCTTGCCCTAAGAAGTTCGCCCTATGAGATGATTAGAAGCCTCTAGTACGGGTGTTTTCAGCTGTCGGGTGTTGCCTGCAAAAGTGATTTGGATCCTCTGAAATAGGACATCTCCCGAATCAACAAGCTTCACCCGATAATCTTTTGCAAGTTGTTGTAAACCACCAAGCTCTGGTATCTCAAGTGCCCAGGGGTGTTCAGGGATGCCTATAACAGATCTTCAGATCTCGGAGTCGCCAGGTTGGTTCAGCTGGCCCGCCTTACGAGCCAGGCCGAAGCACTGGGTTGATCTCCTTTTGACACCTTGTTCCCTAGTACCTAATGTCCAGAAACTGGAGGGGGGGGGGTTGAGGATGCACTTCTTTGTTCCTTTTCTTTGTTGTTGTTTTGTGTGTGTGTGTTTATTCTTTTGTTTTTGTTTTTGCGGGGGGGGGGGGGGAAAGGCGAATCACCTATGCTTGGAGTGCCGTTTGGAGACAAACCTTGAATGTCTTCCCCGAAAAGTGTGGCAGTTCCCTTCCGAACCTATCGCCATTTGGCACAAGGACAGCCAGGCATTTTGAGCAGGCCGCTTTTGTTTTGCTTTTGCTTTGGTCATGCCATTGGCACACAATAGGAGGGACCTGACAGCAGCCGCACCCTTTAAAGTGTTCAAGGATTTGCTTGCATGCAGGGATGCGTCTTCAAATGGGGAGCCAAATACGAAGAACCCTTCTTGTTTTTGTTTTCAATCTTGCAACCAGCCAAAAAGCAGATGTGACACGCCCAAAGCTGTCGCATTGCTTGGGACTCAAGATACTTGTGGCGCAGGCACGTTTTTTTTTTTTTTTAATATATCTTCCCGCTCATGGATACTCCTCGAAATCTAGTCCGCAGTGAGTTCTTCAGTGACTTGCGTTCTTTAACCCTCCGCAGAAACTTTTTGCTCACTTCGGAAAACACCTTTCTTCCCCAAAAGGGACACCCAGTAGTCAGCGACCCGACAAATTGGAGCCCCTTGGCGCCGCGCCATCTGAAGTTATTGAACTGGGGAAAGTTCAACTCAAGCAGCACTTCCATGGCGGTGCTCGCAGGAGACTAGCTTCAAGTCTGTGCATATACTTATATATATATATATATATATTTAGAGAGAGAGAGAGAGAGAGAGAGAGAGAGAGAGAGAGAGCTGCGCTTCTTGTCTTTCTGACCCCCAACAAAAACCTCTTGTGAGAGACAATAAACAAAGCCATGAAATCGGTATGTATGTTTTGGCAAGACAGGGCCGATCTGATTTGCCACTCGCCGCTAGGTCCCGGAAACCACCGCGAAGCGGGACGCTTTCCTTGAGGCGCGGGCGGGCTATACCCAGAGCTTCCCCATTGGCTCACTTGACCAAAGCGAATCGACCTGAACCGATTCCAAATGTTGGTCTAGTTTTTGTCAAGGTGCCAGGTGAACCTTGTTTGGGTCCAAGCCACGAAGGAATTGATTCTGCTTGCATGCAGAACTGTCAGTCACTGGAAATGAACCCGAGGATTTGGCTGAGCGGCTTCTTCCAAAGGCAGCGCGGGTGAGAGACTCCATGAGTTGTTTGAAGGCCGAGTGTTGGATACCGAGAGGATTCGTTTGTATCCAGAAAATGAGGCTTGATTTTAATGGGGCCCCCTTTGGTGGACATAATGTAGGGGGTTCATGTCCACCAACCTCTTGTGAGATGGTTCCCTATTCAAATGCATAGCCAAATCAATCACAGACGATGTTGCAATTCCGATGGCTGCAGGACATCGGATTTGGTGCCATGTGCAATTCCGGGCAGCTGCCAAGTCAAGCAAAGCCACGAAGTGAGGCTTGTTTGTCAGATGCTGGCCACATGATTGCCACTGTTTTGCTAGCCTTTCAGATCTGTCGCATTGATACATTTCGTCGAGGTTGCCCCTTGCACAAGCGGTGCGTGTTTGCATATTACTGGCAGTTCAGCTAGAAGGTTCAGACGGTTGGGGCTGCATCCGAAATGCGCCCTGCGCTATTTGCCAATGGGCGGCACTCAAATCGACCCAACACCAGGAACAATTGCAAGGACGTTTGTTCAAGAAACCACCGCAACTTCCCCACTGGGAATACATCCTCATTCAGGTGTCCCGCCAAAGGAATCCTCATCCTGATTGTTTAGTCCAAGTTCCTTTTTGCCCACCTCCGCTCTTTTGCCCCATGGTCCAGTCAAGGTCCTGAAAGGTTCACTTGAGTTCTCCAAAAAGGTGGACCCCTTTTAAATGGCTTAGGGACACCAAAAGGAAACTTGTCATTTTATAGGTCGACTACGAGTTTCTACCCGGTACTAGTTGCAACTGGGCCACTCCTGCGGGGCCCTCTGTGCATTTTCTTCAAAAGGCCGGCACCTGGGGGAGCACCGAAATGAGTCTTTTGGGTTGGAGCCGATCAAGTTTTGATGTGGTTGAAACATCACACTTTGGGACCCAAGGTTCATCAAAATTATCCCTTGCGGTCTTCATTCGATGCCCCCCCCCCCCTCGTGCCATGGACACCTGGAGTCTATTTTGCAACCATAGCCTAAAAAGCCAATCAGCCCAAAAAAAAAAAGAATCAGCCCCAAAAAAAAACAATCAGCCCAGAAAAAAGGAGAGAGGTTGCAAAATCCACCCCAGGTGTCCATCATCCCCCCCCCCCTCACCCCCCCGGCCCCAATCCCCGGATTTTTGGCCCGCCTGGTCCAGGTGCACGAGCTCTCGGCCGCGGGGAGGGCGCGGCTCTCCGCGGAGCTGAAAAGCCAAGGCGCCGAGCGCCAGCGCTCGACGTGTTCTTTTGGCCAAACGATGTGTGCAGGGACTCATGGCTGTGCAACTAAGGTTTTTTTTCCCAACAAAACGAAGGGTTAAGCTTCTAGGGGAGCAGAAAGGGCTGTGGGAAATGGAAGCCACGGATCTGTGATACAGATTCCAGAAAGGGCCTGAGCCCAAAGACGAACAGCCCCATGTAAAGGGGGAGATTCCCGAAGATATCGCAGAAGTGGGCAATAAACCCCTTGATTCCACAACCCCACAACCCTGTTGGGACTTGAACTGTGCAACTAAGGGGTTTTCCAACAAAACGAAGGGTTAAGCGTCTAGCAGGGGAGCAGAAAGCAAACGAGCTTTTATTGGGGTTTTGACCCACCGCCATTTGGGTTGGTTGAAAGGAACGCCAAAAGGACACCAAATTTGGGTCCGCAAAAAACAATGACACGGGTTTTGATCCGGTCTCAGTTCCTGGTTCTCTGCCCTGGTTGCTTTTGGGGCAAGAACCAATGCAGGTTGGTTCGGTGCGGTTATGTTTCGGGTCCCTGCCCCGTGGGGTGAAGGGGTGCAGGGCCCCCAGCTCGGCAACTCTAACAGAGGGCCCTGATTATGGCCTCAGTTGTTCAGTGGCACCCTTTTTCCTTTTTTTGTGTGGCTGTTCAGTGGCACCCTTTTTCCATTTTTTTTTGTGGCTGCCCCACTAAAAGTGGTCTTCCCCAGAAAGGGTTCCCGTTTTTTCCAGGTGAACAACTGAGTGGCTAGGACTGGGTTCATTCAGAGGCGCCCGTCATACGCTCGGACTTTAAGACTTTGGACCCTTTGCATCTAGAGGCACTTTGTCGCACACTAAAGCCTAACCTTTGGCAGGGGATGAACGAACTATGTTCAAGAGGACCATGGCTCCCCCGTCAGGCAAACCTGGATATTTGCCGACCTTTCGACCTTTTGGTGTTTGGCCTTTGAGCACAGGGTGGGAGCTGGGAGTATTTCACCAGGTCTTGGGGCCACTGCGAAGAAAGTGGCCCTCCAGAAGTCTTTGTCCGCCGGAGTGTGGGCGACTCAGTCCACATGCCGCAGGCGATTTCCCACAGAGTGGGTTGACTTAAACTTAAGGATCCTTATATTCAATATCAAGGGGGTGACCGGTTGGATCTCGCAGGCATGATGTACACAGATGTATTTGAACAGTTGAACTCATTGAATTGATTTTTTGGAAGGCTTCCCAAGCTTAGATGGGTTCTGTTGAACACAGCCATTCAGAAGTCAATTTTGAGGATGTCACTTCAATGGACCCAGGATGGATGTCAGCACGCTGCTTTTTCCGCCTTCAGCGACCAAGGATCCAGCAACCGCCCACTTCGCAGTCGGAGGGACAGCATCTTGCACGCAGGTGGTGATTGCTTGAATGGGCAAACTAAGCTGTTTTTTCAGCAATTCGGCCATGGGCAGCTTTGAAGGGGATTGAAAGGAGGATATTTAAGCAATAGGTATTTACAAGCAGAGGGTTGGACCGACCCCCCGTCTAGACAAGCTTAAGATGCCGTTCACGGCGTCTTCAAAAAATCCAAGCACCCCTGAAAATGGTTCTTTCCGGCTTGCTTCCCATGACACCAACCACCCAGAACACCAACCAAAGGGTAGGCTTGTCATGTTGGGATAGAACAAGGTTGAGGCTTTGGTCGGCAAGCCATGCGGGACAAGCACGAGGATAGGCAGAACAGCCTTTCCACACACCAAGTCTCATCCGGGCTCAGGTGCTGAAACCTTGTGGGGCATTTAGCTTGCAAACAAGCAGTGCTTCAGGTTGGAGGTGGCACAACTCATGAACGAAAGGGAAGAAGGCTTTTCAAAGCTTTCACTCCTTTCTGCCGGGTTGGTTCAATGGAAACTGCAACGTTTTTTTTGTTCTTTGTGTTTTTGTGTTCATTAACATGACCCTGACTGAGGGGTACTGAAAGGCGGTGCATTTCCGCGAGAAGTACTGGAAAAGGGCCCCTTTGTGGGTTCCATGTGGCTGTGGGTCAAAACCAATGGTACCATTCAAATGGGTAGGTATTCACGAGCCATTTGAGAACCTATTTTAGTGGGGCATTGGGATGTTCACTGGGGGCTAGCCGGGATTTTGACCCGTCTCATCTTTGGTTCGCCTGAGCCGCGAGGCCCGCGAGCCAGAAGCGGGCGCTTACCCCGACCGGGCCCACCGGTCAGCTCAGCCACCTGGCTTGGATTTTGGATGGCAGGGAACCAGAAGCCAAAGGAACAGAGGCGCATTTTGCCAAGGGATGTTCGGACTTCTAACTGTTTGCCAACTAATGAGTTTTCCATACAACCACTAAAAGTTAAACTTTCAGCCGAGAATAGGAAGGGGTCACCAGATTTGGGAAGACTAAAGTGTTGCAACCCTTCTTGTTGTGTGAACCAAGCGATAACCCTTTCTTGCTATTGGTAAACTTTCCCCTATGGATAACCCCACCGCCAGCCGACCCCAATATTGCCAATACAGTTTATTCTCAGCGAGAAACAATTGGGAAGGGGTCGCTACACTTGGGAAGGCTACAGTGTTGCAACGTTGCACACTGGGAACTCCCATGAATGCAACCAAAACACAGACGGAGGCATAGAACAACCGCAACCCTTGCAAACCAAACTGACAGAAGGGAAAAGAACTCCGTCATTCTTGAGACAAGATGATTTTGCCATGTGCTGCATTGGTTCAACTACGGCAGGAAGCTGCAATTTGAAGGTCCTGGCCAACATGCCTCAAATACCTGTCACAATTATAGCGGGCTGTAATGGATTTCCGCAATTCCCTTTCGAGCCGCGTCAGCAACAGGCAAGAAGCAGCGCGGAACACAATTCCGGAACAAGAAGAGGACGCGCTAGACATCGTCGAAAGTCATATTTCAAAGGTGTGTGTGTGTGTGTTTGTGTATATATTTGTAGTTTGACTTTTAATTGTAAACGCTTCGCGTTGCCCGCCTCGGCCAGACCGCTTTTGGCTGGCTTTGAAGTATATACCGTGCTTTGGTTTGCTTTGAAGTGTTTTGTTTGTTCGAGTGAGTCGGCGCCGAAATGTGTGAGTGCGGGTGCATGTCCGCGCGTTTCCACATGGCTTCAAGGGCCAGGCAGCGAGCTACAGAAGGTGCAAAGCTCTAGGCAATTTGATTGGTTTCTGGAGGGGGCTTGACCGGTTCCAAGGGGAATTTGATTTCAGGGGACGGGCTTTGAGAAGGGGATTTGACTGGACTCGCTGGGGGATTGGCCATGGCTGGCAAGCATCTTTTGGGATTGGTTCCGAGTCAACTTACTACATGTTAGGGGTAGTTTAGAGCTAGTGTGGGGCTTTCGAGGTTATTAGGTTGGCTCAGAATCAGTTTCGGTTTGATGCTTGGCCTCAGGTTGGATTGGGCTTGTTTGGGCGGGTGTGTGAAAAGTTTATGGGCTGGCTTTAGGGTGAGTTGGAGGTTTGTGCTAGCGGTTGGCTGTCCAGGTGCTCAGGATACGGTCCGGTGTGCGTGCCGGTGGGGACAGTGGTGAGGGGGAGGGGGGCTGGGATATTGCTAATTCGCAATCCGTCATGTATGTGTATGTATATATATTTGATTTAATCGATTTGATATGATTTTATACATGAATTAAAATTATATATGAATTATTTTTTAAAAAATGGGTGTGTTGAATATACATTATTGCTTATGAATTAAGAATTGGGATATGGATTTGATTGGGAATATTTGTTTATATAATTGGGTATATTTTAAATAAATATAAAATTAAAATAATGATAAAGCCAGATAATAATATGTAATTTATTTTATAATTATATAATGAATATTTTATTTAATAAAAGATATAATATATTTTAATTATATTAATGTTATGAATATATAAAATATTTTAAAATTAATAATTTTGATTTTTTATTTTTATTTTTATATATTTAAAAATATATAATGTTTGTATTATTATTTTTTTAGGGTATAATTTAACTAATTTAATTATAGATGAATTTTAATATTTATAGAAATTTTAAATTAAAGAAATACTAATTTTACGAAATGGGATGGATTTGGTGATTCTAAATTATAATCGAATTTTGATTTATAGAATTATTGATGTAAATGATAATATGTTCTAAATATATTATAATTTATTAAATAATTTGAATTTATATGGTTTATTAAATCGGTAACCTTAAAGAGTTTGTTTTTATTAATTAGAATTATTGATCTAATAATGTTTTTGCTATAATGTTGTGTGGGATGAGGTATTGTAGTGATAAAAATGTGTTTTGTATATTTTAATGATGTAATTATGTAAAATTGAGAGGGTGTTTTATAAAGAAATTAATTAGGTAAATTGTTATAGAAGGAATATATGATTTGGTAAAGATTGTTTTATTTCTAAATTATGATTTATAAATATATTTTTGGCAATTAAAATATAATTATTTTGGATGAATCTTTCACATATTGATAAATAAAATTTCATAAGATATTCGAATAAATTAGAAATTATAGGATTGCAAAATACGATGACACGGCCGATCTTTGGGAAGTCGAGAATTATGTTTTCTAGTTATAAATAATATCACCAAAACGATCCCAAATTTGTAAGGTAAGGAATATCCATGAATATATAAACGGTATATTTAATTTCCTATTTAATTTATAGGAAAATCGGAATAGATATTGGATTATTTGGTTTATAAATATATTTATTTAAATTATTTAGTTTATTATTATTTTTTTTTGGGGGAAACAAATAAAATAAATAAAGATGGAATATATAAACAAAACAATTAAATATTATAATTGTTATATTAATTATTTCTTAAATGAATTAATTTTTATTCCATCGGAATTATACGACGATTAGGGGGACCATCGGATCTAGATGATAGTTCCTATAATCATTATATAATTGATTGGGAAACAAATTTGATCTTCGTAATGGAAAGATATACCCGAATTTGATGGTTGGGCTCGAATTGTTATTATATTAATAATAATATATTGAATTATAAATATAAATAAATTTTGATTATTTTGAAAATATAGAAATATATGTTTATTGTAATTTTGATTTTTATTCTAGGTGGTAAAGAGGCAGAATAGGGATTATCCTATGATTAGTTCTAAACCGGGCTATTCATTTAATACGATAAATATAATAAGTTTAATAAATTCTATATCAAGGAAGGGTTTTGGATAGTCAAAAAACCTAAGATATCTATGATTTGCATAGATCTCTAGTGCTTGTTGTATTTTCTGGGCATCAGGGTTTTGAATACATCTCATTTATTGTTTTTTGCAGGAACAAATTATATATATTTGAATATAAATAGAATAAAAATTCCAATAACCCCCATTTCGGGATAAATGCGAAGCCAAATTTAATCTATATTCGAAAAAAAAACAAATAAATTCAGGAGATATCCCCCAATTACATACAATATTTCTTTATTATCCGTATTATCCCGTCCTCATAAAACCTCGTGGAAGCTTAACAAACCCCCCGAAGCCTTTCTATGTAAGTTAAGACCCCAAAGCTTTCAGCTAATAAAGAAAAACATCAAATATTCATTATATAGATATATTATTAAAAAAACATAAAATAATATCTATATATATATATTATTTTAAAAAACACATAAAAATATCTCTATTTAAAATTCTAACTATAATCATTATCACACTATATTATTTTTTCTAATTCTATAAATATTAAAATATTACCAATGTAATTATAATTTATATTCATTTTATTAATATAATAATATATATAATAAATAATATTTATAAATAATTAATTTGAAAATATAATTATTCATTCTATCAATTAATTAATATAAAATAAACAATATAAATAATAAATACTATATATTTTAATTAAACAAATAATTATTATTATGTCAAATAAATAAAATCATTTATACCAAATAAAATAATATTCAATAATTCCTTTATAATAATAAATATGGATTTTTTAAAATCAACATTATTTATACAACACCATTAATTATAATTTATTCATTATTTATAATCAACAACATTTTCCCAAATCAAAGGCTTTATTTATATTATTATTCTTATCCCCCATTAAAATTTACCTAATAGCTAAATAATATCAATACCTAAAATAATAAATAAATTAAACATAAGAAAATTCAATCACCATAATTAATAATTATATATAAATATATTACAACATAAATCCCAACAAAAACAACCCTACCTTTCAATTACAAATAATAATCATACCACTAACCATTAACATAACAACATAACCCAAAAATCACAACAAAAAACACATTCATTAAAATTACCAAAATATATCCCTAAAATATAATTTTAACACTACAAATCTTGAACCATCCCATCAATATCCAATATCTAAAATAAACAACATAATAATTTCATTACCAAAATATTATTATTATGTGTTTATTCAATTATTCAAAATAAATGAATTATACTAATTCAATTCGACATTCAGGATGTGTGGTTGATTCTCAATCTTTGGCACGATGGGGCAGCGAGTCTGAAGGCGTGCGCATGCATATCTTGATTCTCAAGATGACTCTGGCGAATGAATTCGAGACGTGGGAAATATAGCGCGCAAAGCCCGCACATCGCGTTGATCATCATCATCGGGACTTGATTCATGCCAGCCATTACAGTGTCTTGGAACCTTGCGCTTCATGCCATGGCAAAATCTAGCTGAAAATGCAAAAGCGCGCGCGCGTGTGTGTGTGTGTGTGTGGGTGGGCGGTGCGCGCGTGCGTGCGTGCGTGCGTGAGTGCGTGCGTGGGTTTGTGTGTGTGTGTGTGAGCCTCCGGATTGTTCAGTCCCCTTCCAGCAGCCTCTTTGGGCAATGCAGGGCGCAGTCTTCACCCTTCACCTCAGCAGACACTCGGCAAAAACACACAGCTCGTGCGCTGTGCTGAGGCTCCGTGCATCCATCAAAGTCTTGCGCCACGAGTGTGCACATTTCCTCCGCAAGACATCCGAACCTTTGGTGGCTTGGGTGCAATGGGCACTCCATCGAATTTGGGCACGTGTCAAAATAGGAGAACATGCGGAAACAATTTAAAAAAGAAACAACACCAGGTTGTTTCTCCTTTGATTTCCGTTGAACCCGCCTTTTTGCAGGGTAGCTCCCAAATGGACCCCTTGCAGAATTTAGACATTGCTCATACTAGTCGACCTTCTTCCAGTTTCCCCCTCTCAGTGAGGACACATTCACTCCTGTTTCTGGGCTTTCCTGGGGATGAACATCACTGCGGGACCCAAAAAAGGGCAAGGGGTGCACGCAAGGGCCCAGTTTGACCCTGCCAAAGGAAAACCGGCTGTCCGACTGCGTGTGGTTCTTCCCCGCTGCAGCTTCTTGTTGCAAACGCAACGCCTGGAAAGGGCATCAAGAGATTGCCGCATGCCTCATCTGGCAACATGAATTCCTTGAGCCAACCATAAGACCAGAGTACTCCCCAAACAACATCCCTGTTTGTGGAGCTTCCTTTCGGGTTACCCCTTAGGAGCTCCATGTCAATCTACATGGGAAAAGTCTTCACTAGGATCATGCAAGGCATCCTCTGCCTGGTTGCGCTTGGCGCGCTCCAGGATGTTCCGCACAGCTCCTCAGCTTTGGAGCTATTTGTGTGCATCTTGCCTTCGGCCATCTTGAACTCCTCAGGCAATTGCTTCTTTTTGGAATCCGTCAATCGCCATCTGTAGCCCGTCGAGTATCTCTGTTTCTCTTCATCTCTGTGCATGTGGCAATCTAGGGGCACGCCAAACATGCTCGTGTCCTTTTGCTTCTCTTTAGCACTAAGAGAACAAAAAGGGTACCCTCAATCGGCACACGAGCACATCTGGGTTTGTCTCAAAATGGGTGGTTGTTTACAACTGGCTGTGGGTCAAACCCTGTATTTCTGGTGAACATCAAAATAGGTGGCAAATGGATGTTCATCCACCCGAAATGGAGCCATAGGTTTTCCTTTAAACCCCCCAAAACACATCGCACCCAGGGCCTGTGTCTCCGGGCCACCCTGCGTCCGTTTCCGGCTTGCCGGTCTGCTTTCTTGCCACTCTTTGGGACCGTCTGAAAGCGGGACGCGGGGGAGGCGCATTTGGCAGCGTCACGGACGTGTCACGTGTCCACGTGCACTGCGTTGGCCGTAGAACCAGAAGAAAAAAGAACATGCTGGACATTGGATTTCCAAGCATCCACCCAAAATCCATGGTCCAATGCATGCAGCCCTACATAAGTTGGTTCCGCGATAGACTGCTTTGTTTGCAGTAAAAACAAGCTCAGGCAACCTGTGGGTACAAAAAAACAGTTTGAATGGGTGGTTGTCAAAAAAAGGCTAACCACTTGATGGGAACAAGGACAATTCATTGCCGACACTCTCAGCACCGATCTTATCCTTTCGCGCCTGCCTTCTGCAACAGGCTTTTGAGCTTTTCGCTGGCAGATGGCTCTGATAAAACCATCACATCCTGGCGGCAACGGACATCGACCTAGCCGCCGGGGTCCAAATCAAACCTGGGCTGATAGCTCCAGGTCGCTTGACACAACGAACAAGTAGCATGAACCGCTTGGACCTGAACAGCAAGATTCTGGGTCAGGGTTCTCACAGTTGCTGCAACTAAAATATCCGGGATGAAATCCAAGGATCCACAAGCCCCAACTGAATCAATCACCATCTCACGTTTTGTTTTTTGTCCATCTCAAGTGATATATAACGAAAAGAAGTACTGTCGCCAAAAACCGCTACACTACCAACATTGTTCCTGAATCTCGGGGAATCTTTTTGCCATCTTTTGTGAGAAAATTGGCGACCCCCCCAAAAAGGAATCCTTCACTACAAGGGAGCCGATCATTTTTCCACGAAGGCTGGCAAAAAGACCCCCCCAGAGTCAGGAGATTCCTGACAGGTCCCTGGGAAACTGGACAAGGTTCCTTTCGGCTTCGGGGGTCGAATTCGGCCTGCAGCAACATGCCATCCGCAATCTCCAGCAACTCTTCGCACGTGTAGTCCTCGGTCCAGTCCATTTCTGAGAGAGTTCGTTGTTGAGCACATTGTCGGTGTGACAGGAGCCCCAAAATTGTAATATTCCTCTTGGTTTGCCTCTTAAACTCCACGCACATATACAAATACATCAAGCACACAAGCACACAAGCACAGAAACACACAAGCACACAAGCACACAAGCACACAAAAACAGAAACACAGAAACACAGAAACACACAAACAGACAAACAGACAAACACACAAACAGACAAACACACAAACACACAAGCACACAAACACGCACGCACGCACGCACGCGCGCACACACGCACGCACACCCGCACGCCCGCTCTCGCGCGCGGGCAGGCGGGCGCGCGCACGTACGCACGCTTGCGCGCACGCACGCACGCACACGCACGCACGCACGCACGCGCACGCACGCGCACGCACGCGCACGCACGCACGCACGCACACACGCACGCACGCGCACGCACACGCGCACGCGCACGCTGCGCGCACGCGCTGCACGCGCGCGCGCACGCGCGCGCACGCGCACGCACGCACGCGCGCACGCACGCGCAGCGCGCGCACGCGCGCACGCACGCGCACGCACGCACGCGCACGCACGCGCACGCGCACGCCGCGCACGCACGCACACGCACACACACACACACACCACACACACACACACACACGCACACGCACGCACGCACGCACGCACGCACGCACGCACACACGCACACACGCACACACCACACACACACACACAAACCCACACACGCACACACGCACACACGCACACACGCACACACGCACACACGCACACACACGCACACACGCACACACGCACACACGCACACGCGCACGCGCGCACGCACACGCACACGCACACGCACACGCACACGCACACGCACAAGCACACGCACACACCCGCACACACACACCCACACACACCCACACACCCACCCACCCACCCACCCACAGACACAGACACAGACACAGACACAGACACAGACACAGACACAGACACAGACACAGACACAGACACAGACACAGACACAGACACAGACACAGACGCACACAGACACACACACAGAGACACACACACACACAGAGACACACAGAGACACACAGACACACAAACAGACACACACACACACAGACACACACACAATCACACAAACACACAGACACAAACACACACACAGACACACACACACACAGAGACACACACGCACATGCACACGCACACGCACACGCACACGCACACGCGCACGCACATGCACACGCACACGCACACGCACACGCACACGCACGCGCAGGCGCACGCGCACGCGCACGCCCACGCCCACGCGCACGCCCACGCCCACGCCCACGCCCACGCCCGCGCACACGCACACGCACACGCACACGCACACGCACACGCACACGCACACGCACACGCACACGCACACCCACACAAACACACAAACACACAAACACACAAACACGCACACGCACACGCACACGCACGCACACGCACACGCACACGCACACGCACACGCACACGCACACACACACATACACTGAAACACACAAACACAAACACACAAACACACGCACACACACACAAACACAAGCGCACACACACAAACACAAGCGCACACACACAAACACACACACACAAACACAAACACAAACACAAACACAAACACAAACACAAGCACAAACCCACCCACAAACCCACAAACGCAAACACCCAAACGCACACACACACACAAACACAAACACAAACACAAACACAACACAAACACACACCCAAACACAAACACAAACCCTCACACAAACCCACAAACGCAAACACACAAACGCACACACACACACACTCACTCACACATCTTCAACCCAATGATTTCGACAGACCTCAGCTGTCTCGCCGCTCAGCGTCCCGGCATCGAACTCGATGACTGTGGGAAATCGTGATCGCAAGCCAGGATTGGCCTCGATCCTAGGCTCTCGAGGCTCAAACAAAAACAGAGCCAAATGAATAGCTGGAAATTGTGCTTTGCGAAAACCCTGAGCAGCTGACAAAATGACACCTAAAGCGCTTTGTTCATCTGCAGCAAGCAAATATGATGTTGTAAGTGTCAACTCATCCACTAACCTTCAACCTCCACCCAACCTTTAGCTCCCTAGCTAGCAATTTGTCGGGTTTTCATTCCGAGCATTGCCCCACTAGATTCTCTGAGAGCGCCATTCAGCCGAAGCATCAGTCTCGCCATCTCAGTGCTGTAGCCTGCTAGGATGACCACCTGCGTGAGTGAGAAAGCTGCAAGAAACCCAACATGCTAAACCAACTCAAAAAAGGGCACCCTCAAAAGCAAGCAAGCAAGCAAGCAAACAAAACAAACCAACCGACCGACCAAGCAAGCAAGCAATCAGGCAAACAAAACAAACCAACCGACCAAGCAACCAAGCAAGCAAGCAAGCAAACCTACAAGCCACGCACACAGAGAAACTCAAGAAAATACACTCAAACCGCCTGTGCCTTCACTGTTGCAATCAGCCGATCTGAGCTGCGTTGCAGTGGTCCCATGCAGCAGATGCAGAAACTCCAAATGAGCATTGTTTTTTAGAGGTTCAAAGCTTATACGCTGCTGGGGAGGCTACGCGGCGGGCTTCGCGGGGCCAAAATTCGTGGCAGCGTTGCTTCGCGGCAAGACTGTGGCTTCGCGGAGTGGCTTCGCCGGGCTTCGCGGATGCTCCGGCGGTAAGAGAGACATTGAGCTTCAGGACTGGGGGACATGGCTGGGCCTCAAAGGGGCGGGGCATGGAAGTTGGACCGCGATGGCTTCGCGGAGGCTTCGCGGAGGCTTCGCGGAGGCTTCGCGAAAACGTTCCGTCGTATCTGGCAAAACCGGGCCTGAAACGCACAGTGCTCTTCCGGTCGTCTTCCTGTCGTCTTCCCATAATCTTCCGGCAGTCTGACTGTAATCTTTCTGGTGGTCTTGTCAACCTTCTGGCAGCCATCTGAAAATGACTCTAAGCATTAACCTTTGGCATGCTACTGCCATGAAAACTTATAACACACTCCAACCACGAAGTGGCTTCGCAAATTGGAGTTCCCCACGAAGCTAAAATCCATCATCTGAGAAAAACACGCTGCTCAAATGATCTGCAAGACATAGGTCTTGACTGCAACATGCAAGGAGTAAAGTTATTTTGAAGATTGGAGTTGCGCTTTGCACTCGTCATTCCTTGCACAGGTCTCTTCAATTTTCTTGCCTAGGGATTCGGCTCACGTCACAAGAGCCATGCTACCCATAGAAAATACCTTGTTTAGGGTAGGGTTATCCTCAAGACACTTGTAAATGAGAGGGGGTTCTGGCAAACCTCGTTATCTCTCTGAGGCCCCATCCAAGTCTTGCCGGTAGTCCTCTTGCGGGAGTGTGAATCCGCGAGGCATTCAGCATAGCGTCCAATCTACCCCTTGGGGCCGGCTTTCAATCACGCAATTATCTGAGTGAGTCGCTCAAAGAGTGCCCACAGACATGCAACCTCTCTTGGAACCTGGCCATGTTGTCATACGTTGCATGCCGCGCAACTCTGAAAATGGAAAGCTTGGCTCCTCCACGAGCTTGATGAGGGTGTCCAAAGCCTCTCTGCCGAAGGAGTCTCGCCCGTCGTCGCCAACCAGGGCATATGCCTCGACTGCATTCCAACCCAAAAAAAGGCTCGGCCGCCATGTCACACTGTGGCGCCTCCTTCATCGCAAGCAGGGAAACGCACCAGATGTCCGCAAAAATGTGGGCGAAAGCTACATGTCCCTAGTGCACAAGTTGTGCATCCTAAAGGCTTAGGTAAAGGTAGGGAGCTGCCTGGCATTTGCTTTGACCCTCGACAAGACCTGGACATGGCAGGTGCACCGGGCCTCGTCAATGAAGAGCACGCCGCCCAGTGCCTGGGAAAACCCAAGTGAGGTCCAACGGAAACGCCGTGGACGGACTAAACCATCCAGCAGGTGGTTTATCCCATAGGGCTTCATACATCTGCCATCTGCTAGATACGCCCCAAGGCAAACAAGCATGGGTTTTCAGCAGGACCTTTCAGGTTCCACAAAAAAACCTCCCCACGGGAAACTGGCAGACTGGCCAACAGCAAAGCAAATAGGTTGAAAAGTCTTCAAACATCAGTTCGCACCCATTGAAATGCCGGACTTCCTGTGCGCTTACTGTCGACGCCTGAAACTGGTAGATCAATGAATAGCTGTCCCCTTCGCCTGTTTGGGTTTTTCACTTGGGGCTCCCACCTATTCAAACGACATGGTGTAACCCAAAATCCCCGGGGCCCGCGGCGGACTCCACCGCAGCTTTGGTCTTCAGTGCCGTCTGCCCGCTGTAGCCTGCGACAAGCCCCAGACCCCGGAGCGACCTGCAGGAGTTTCTTTCTCCGCCGTAACGCTGGGCCGAAAACTCGTCGTTGTGCAACTGCTGGTGAGTGGCTCAATGAAGCGGCTCATTCTTCGTTCTTTGTGTATTCAACAGCTAAGCCCGGCTTTTGAACAAGAACTACTTGTTGATGACTAGCGTCAGCCTCCGTTCTGGACTGAACAAGGGCTACGAAGGACTTGACGCTGAGGCCGCTCCGTAGGATCCCAAAGTCGAATATGTATAACATATATATACATATGCAGCAACATGCTTGACAATTTGCGCGGCGATTGCTAGCTTCTATCTCGCTATCCCACTTTTTGCACAGTTTGGTTTCTGAACATGTCCATGCAGCGCGTGAAGGTGAACCCTCTTCTGTTCATTTCTGTCCTTCTTCCAGCCCACCCCCTTTGCCTAACCGAAAAGAAGCGGTACAGAATGAGGATGTTGATCCTCTGGGTCCCCTGCAAAAAAATGTCCGTTCTACGCAAAACAATGGGGGTTCTACGCCAACAAATGGGGGTCCTACGCCAAACAGGTTTGTCGACGGTCACGTCATCTTTGGACTTGTGTGAAAATTGAACTGGGAAAAACAAGCCATCAACTGCTTGTTGTTCGCGCCACCTGCGTAAAATGCAGAGGAAAACCTATTATCTGCCAAAACGGCTCTGTCCGCGCAAGATCTTCAGCTGGCACGTTGGGCAGACAGAAAAAGGGATCTTAGGACACTATCCAGAAAGAATAGTGTACAGAGCTAGCGGAAAATATTTGGCTTCGAAGGCTATACTTAAGAGGTTGCACTAGCAGGCATGGTTTTCGAAGAATAAAATAACAACAACCTAATCTTTTCCCCAAAGGCCAGGTCAAAAATTAGGCTTGCAATGCAAAACAATGGGTTGAACACCCCCCCAAAAAAAAAAGAAAAGAAGAAACAAGTCGAGGAAGCACAGGACCCAGGGTTTGTCTGGGGATTCTTGGGACTTGGCAAAACACCCAAAGGCCGATGTTGCCATATTTTCGTCCTCCCATCCGAAAGCACCGAACGCACTCGCGCGGCTACGTGGCGCCTGCCACCAGCGCGGACCTGTCCGCCTCCACCAGGTGTCCGGTGCGGAGCAAGCCCAAGGCCTGCGCCCGGCCGATTTGGGTGCCATGGCAACGTGGAGGGTTTGTGACACATGGACAGGGGAGATTGTAGTTGTTCCTTCTCATTTCCCTTTAAAGCAACCCCAAATTGAGCACCTCTAAAAAGACACACACCTATATTGAGATTCTGTCACAAGTCATGTCTAAACCACCAGGGGACACATGATACGGATACGATGTTTCATTGGACGCTTTGGTGGAGACTTACATGGAGGCTGTTCCCCGGAAAAAGTCATGGCCATATTGCTTACCCAAATGGAAATGCTCGGGCTTCCTTTGGTTTCCATGTACACCAACACCATGAAAGGGTACCCACACCCACATCTCCCGAAGTCAACATCTGCTGATTGAGGCCAAGTTGGCCAGCCCCCTCAATGCGTTCAAATCCGAAGGCAAGTGACTTGTGCAAGACTTCTTGCTGGACAAAAACAGGAATCCAGTTTTTGCAGAACCACGTGCGACTCAGTGTGCCCTGCTCTCCTTGAGCAGGTCCGCCACCACCCGCGCAACGGTGGTCTTGCCAGTTCCAGGATTGCCTCAGAACTTCACGAGAGCAACTCAACTGTGAGGCCCTTTCGCATGTGCGAGCTGTACAACATCTTGGCAACATGAAAGAAATCACCAACCGAAAAAAATGGCCCTCCCAAGAAAGGAATTCGAACGTGCATCATGGGGCGCGTCGTACATCCACCTAGCGGTGTTGGTATAATTCGCCAAAACAACATGGTCATCTACTTTTAGGGACTTTCTGTGCAGGCTGCGCAACAAAACCACCAGGGTCCCAAAGAGAGGTATCATTTCGCCAGGAGTACTGGGGCATTTCCTGAGCCTCAAACTCGCCGTGTGAAAACAAGGGAACCCTTTTGATCCCACTCGCAAATCGCTATGAAGCATTCAGCTGAAGAGTCCTTGTTTTGATACGCAGCCAAATGTAGCCAGTCACTGCCTGAAGACATGACTATGTAAACTATCTACAACGTCTGGCTTTTGCATTCCTTGCATGCTATCGGCTGCAAGCCGGCGCAAGTGGTTCCTAATTACATCAAACGGTTGAGAGGAATCCAATGGATCTGGGCAACCAAATGAATAAGGGATCATCCCTATATGAAAGAAACCTTCATCATCATGGATGACGTCGCCCCCCCCTGGTGACATCGTTGTAATTAGTCCGAGAGCGAGATCGAGAGATCGCGGCATCAGACGACCAAATGATCACGACGCAAAACTCACACCTCAAAAAGGTGCCATGCAAATGCCTAATGCCCCTTGATTTCTCTTATCATCCCCTTAAATAACGACCGAGGCACTCATTTTGAGACATCCAAGCCCTGGCAGCCGTTTCCGCAGCCACCGAATCTCAACCGACTTGAGCTTGTCTCACATTTATGTGTTCTTAGGGTACCCTTTAAAGAACGCCATCGGTGAGGCTCCCATGTCCACTCTCCGGCAGGGCCCGCCTTGAAAGACCATGTGCAAGGTCGGACTTCCGCCTGGCAAACAGGCGAAAACGCCCTTCGTTCAGCAATTAATCCGAGAAGTCACAAAGGACAAACCTGGGCCCTCAGATCCCCCGCTAAAAGTTGAGAACTTTTCGTGGGTAAAATGGGACAACTGCCACTAAACACCAAAAGGCTAAACAGCCTAAGGAACCGGATGGCTGGGAGCCAAGAAAATGATGAACATGCGCTTCCTGGAGGGCAAATCGCAGCATAGCCTCAAAACCAGAAAAGCAGCTGATGAACATGCGTCTTCTTTGTGGACACAGGCCAGGGCAAAAAACAACACTATAACCCGCATCCTCCAGGGGTGGCTTTTCCATATTCAGTGCTCTTCAGCCATTCTGGGTACAAATGTGCTGGTAAAGGCAATCTGGGTGAATTATTATATTTCCTAGGTCGTCAGGTCAAATTCTCCCAGACCCGTATTTCAGGATTGCTAGGTCGAATTCACAGTGAGGTCGGGTGACCTTGCTATAATTTACCATGTAAAGGCCAAAGCATCGCGGCTTCGCCCGCCTGGAGTTTCTAGCCCCATCTCTCTTCTTCGCTGCTCCATCAGGAGGGTGGCGTAGAGAGATCGTACGAACCTTACCATCGCCCCGGGCGATTAATCGCCCGCCAGGGCCCTTGATCTTGAGAGATGGGGGTGCCCCTTGTGAGGATTCTGACCACTTCTTTTTGAGGAAACACACCTGCCCGGCCAAAAAAACCAAAACAAGAAAAGAGGGCTCAACATTCCTTGAATGAACACGGGGGTGGCCACACTTCGCAAATCGGATTGGAAAAAAACCATCATCGATGCAATGGCTTCACCCAATGCAACCTGAGGCAAGCGCTCCTTTACAGGCTTCAGTCCCACGATGGAGTCCAGGCGCTTTAAGGCCGCCTTCGCGCGGTTTGCGATGCCAAAAGGGGGTTGACGCGGCTAGCCGCTGGGCCTTCAGATTGTTCAGTAGGAGGGTGTCCCTGGGTTTTGTGGGGAATCACACCACTTTTGGACCAAAAAAACACTGCCGTGAAAAAAAAAACAAAAACACCACAAGCCGGGGTTGGCTCATATGGGGTCGACATGACGCGGCGCCAACCAGAGGGCTCCATGTTGAGCGTCGCTTGCGACCGCGAGCGCCTGGGCAGCTTCGTCCATCTCCTTGTTCTTGTCTACAAAGTCCTCGCAGCGACGTGCTTCTGAGCCGTGGCTCTCGTAAAAATTGCCGTCAACTACCCAGCTGAACGTGAGACAATCACAGTCTCTCCTGGCTTTTGTCGAAAATTTAGCGACTCCCTCAGATTGGCAAAGTCCAAAGTCTTTCATCTACGCAAATGTCAACGACCAATTGCGGAAGAAAACAACTTAGAATTGCGGAAGAAAACCCATTGCCCCACCTCTTCCACCAGGGCGGTCAGCCCGGTGAATGACAACGTCTCCTCAGCGGGTGCCCCCAAATGCCTCGCGGCCTTCGCGCCGCAAACCCCGTACTGACATGGTCGACCCAGAACCATGTAAAGAATTAAGAAGGCGGATATCCGCAGCTATTTATGGCAAGGGGATTGTCCCGTACTAACCTTCATCTACCCGGGTGTTGAGCACGTGGCTCAAATGTCTCTGAGCATCCCGACTTTTGCCCACACCCGGTCAGTTTGTCGACTCACCGCTTCTTCCAGCATGGCCTGAATGGAGCACTCACGAACACAACGGCCATGGACATGTGCACATGCAAACATACGAAAAGTAAATCCTGAATGAAAAAGTTGCTCTGTTCCACTCCGCAACATGATGCACGCACACGCAGGGCAGAAAGCCACACAGCCGCAAAGGTTCAGGAGCACACATGCACAGCCATCCACGCACGCACGCACTATGCAGATATGATATATACATATATATATATATGTATACAATGTATATATACACACACGGTCGCAAGGCAGCAGGTAAGCTTGCAAGTGTGCAAGTGCTCAAGTCTGTTTGTGTTCGTGTTATGTGTGTGTGTGTGTGTGTGTGTGTGTGTGTGTGTGTGTGTGTGTGTGTGTGTGTGTGTGTGTGTGTGTGTGTGTGTGTGTGTGTGTGTGTGTGTGTGTGTGTGTGTGTGTGTGTGTGTGTCTGTGTGTGTGTGTGTGTGTGTGTCTGTGTGAGTGTGTGTGTGTGTGTGTGTGTGTGTGTGTGTGTGTGTGTGTGTGTGTGTGTGTGTGTGTGTGTGTGTGTGTGTGTGTGTGTGTGTGTGTGTGTGTGTGTGTGTGTGTGTGTGTGTGTGTGTGTGTGTGTGTGTGTGTGCGGCGTTCTCTTCTCTCTCGTTTGTGCCCATGCATGCATGTACATCATGCAATGCATGTGCGCGGCCCATGCGGCCGGGAAGGCAGCAGGAAGAACGGTGGATGCAAGCAAGCCGGTGCGCGCTTGCCTTTTCGAAATGGTCGGTGGTTGCGGTTGTGCGTGCGTGCTTGCGTGCGTCCAAGTGTGCGTGGGCGTGGGTTGTGTGTGTGTGTGTGCGCATGTGCATATGCGTGCATAGGCGCGTGGGCGGGTGGGCGGGCAGGCGGGCGGGTGCGGGGCGGGTGGGTGGGTGGGTGGGTGGGTGGGTGTGCGAGTGGGTGTGTTCGTGTGTGCACGTCTGCGTGCGTGCGTATGCGTGCGTGTGCGTGTGTATGCGCTTCCGCGTGCGTGCGTCTGCTTGTCTAGCCTGCTTGTGCGCGTTTGTGCGTTTGTGCGTGTGCGCGTTTGCGCGCGCGTGCGTGCGTGCATGAGTGTGGGTGTGGGTGTGGGTGTGGGTGAGGGCGTGGGCGTGGGTGTGGGTGTGGGTGTGGGTGTGGTGTGGGTGCGTGCGTGCGTGCGTGCGTGCGTGCGTGCATGCGTGCGTGTGTGTGTCTGTGTGTGTCTCTGTGTCTGTGTCTGTGTCTGTGTCTGTGTCTGTGTCTGTGTCTGTGTCTGTGTCTGTGTCTGTGTCTGTGTCTGTGTCTGTGTCTGTGTCTGTGTCTGTGTGTGTCTGTGTGTGTGCGTGTTTGTGCAGCTGTGCCTGTACATTCGACTCAAAGCATGCGCGCCGATGACACTTCGACACAGCACTTCCGTTTAGGGTCGATCCCTTCACTGCGCTGCCTTCGCCAAACGGACGTTCCGCGCGCCGTCGCCAGCCTGAGCATTCAGCTGCGACAAAACAAGCAAGCAGCTCTGGGCGTTTCAAATCTCATAAGGAGCAGCCATACGCTCTCAAAAGCTCTCAGCCAACAAGCCATGGACTTACCGGCTTATCCTGATTGCTGCCTGTACATCAGGCAGCACCCTCCTCTTCCAGAAGATGGCAACCAACCCAAGGAAAATGGTTGGTTTCTGGATAAAGCAATGGGTGGAGAGAGTGAGGGAATCAACCCTCAGAGCAGCCTCTGGATTTCATGCGTACCACCATCCCGCAGTCCGACAATTCAGAATGTGTTATTCCAGCAGGCCCTCACAAGTCATTCCTTCAGTTGCTGATTTAGGACCTTGCCAAAATAGTGCCCCTACTTTTCACGTTCCTTTCAATAACATCCAACAGGACCCCATTTGCGGACCCGCCCAACACGGCTTTCCTCCAGGGTGGCATTTCTCTACGCTACATTTCTTCCTATGTGTCGAATTTGCTTCCAGTAGAAGCGGGTTCAGAACCCGGCCGGAATGGCTTGCCAGAATGTTGCAATTGAACACTGCTAGGTTCAGGTGATAAATAGAGAGTCTCGCACATGAACATACCCATCTTCCTGGACTGTCCTCAGACTCGGCTTGCCTTCGGAGTAAAAGCAAACCGTCCGAACCGCGCAACCTTTCTTCGAGCCGGGAAAAGAAGAAACAACCTCTGGGCTGTTCATCCAACGGTGCTCGGAACTAGAAAAGGTGGCTTTGCGGTGTTCCTTTGCGGGCCATTTTAGAAAGGGGTCCTGTGACCGGGTTCAAATAGAATTATCAGAAGGCCTATATGGCTGTAATTGGGACCCCTGGCAAATGCAACCAAGGACTAAAATGCAGTCCAATTTCTGGTGATTTAACTTTCACCCATACCCACATTTTGACCCACAAAAGCGTGCTTAACCAATTTGGATGATGAGCATCCTTAAAGCATGGTGGTTTTCTTGACCCCCATTTATGGTGGTTTGAGCCCCAGGGTAACCTTGGGGTTTGGAGGCAAGGGGTGGGTTCAAATCCCCAAAGCACCCATCCAAACCAAATACGGGTTCAACAAGGGTTATAAGAAGGCCAAGAAGGCTTGTGTTTGGCCCAATTTGGATGATGAACATCGGGTAAACCATGGTGGTTACATTGACCCCCCATGGTTTTAATGGTGGCAACTGAACCCCAGATTATCCCGGATTCATAAACCCTTGGTTGATTTTGATCGGGGGGTGTCCACTTTTAGTTGAGATTCAGTCCACTTTTGGAGAGACCACCCCCCTAATAATGGGACAGGTTTATTAATCCTGTGTCAACATTACAGTCTGGGGGTACCCTTTTTTCTGTAGTCTATTTTAGTAGGGGAACCCTCCAAACAAAAAAAGGGTAAGAGGGCCCCACTGGGTCAACATTACTTTGCCTTGGCCATGTAACTCCCATCCTCCCATCCCTTTCAGGCGTCCCTGCTCGCGCCAGGCGCCGGCGAACCAGACCTTCCAGCCTGGCGGGCTTCTCCGCGGGGAAAAAGGGGAAAAAGGGGTCGGGAGGTCTAACGGAGAAACGGAGCTCCAAAAGGGAAACTAGGTCCAGCTTGATTTTTTTGGGCCTGCTGCGTATAGATACACGACAGCATGTTGGTGTTGCGGCCATTGTTGCCGTTGCGGCCATTGTTGCCGTTGCCGCCATTGTTGCCTCGAGTTGAATAATTTAGGGTTATCTCAAACTAGGAGCACCCTTTGGAAGGAGTGGTTTTCTGTTGGCTTTATTTTTCTCATTGTCAAAAGTAGAGATTCATTTTTGGAGCCTCCTGCAGTGTTGCTGCATCTGCCATCAGGTTTGCCCCAGTTTGAGCTTGAGAAGTACAACTGATGTCCTCTTGCTCTTGGTAGAAAGAGCAAGTGGGTATGAGGCAGGTTTTAGTCTATGTTTCCATTTACCAGGGTTCTACTTTGGGGTTACCCTATTTTGCCCCATACCCAAGTCATGTCCAAACACGTTCGCAACCTTCGGGTGGGCTTCGATGAGCTTCGCAGCGCTCGAAGCCGAGAGCCGCTGGTCTTGTCAGATCCACGGTGTATCGCTCGTCCGCCAAAAGGTTGCGTCAGGAGACAGGAAACACCCTTAACGATTTTAACGATGCCCGTAGCGGAAGTGCCTAGTCATTTGTCTATAGTAAGCCTTAGCATCTTCGCAATTTCAACTGTATCGTGTTCAAAAGTAGGACTAATGCCTGGGCCTGTGTGTGAAAGGTTTCCAGGGAAGCCCAGAGAAGAATCGAACATGGGGTCAACAAGACAAAAGGAGAGGGGGACTTTCCTACTCGGCATATTTGCCACCTGCCGATTTGTATGACTCCTCTCCAGAATCCGAACATACGCCAATCGACTTTGTCCCAGCTCGCTCTCTCTCTCTCTCTCGCTCTTTGAGCTAGTCTCCCATGCCCTTCAAACATACATTCTCCTAAATGGGGAAGTCCACACGGATGGTTCCCCCTACGGCTTCGATCTGGGGCCAACAAACAAAGGTCCCCGTCATCTCACCACACCCAGACGGCGCTCCAACTCACCGTCGCGGCGCTCTACCAAGGCTTTTTCAGTGGCGCCTTTCATCTGTAAGGTCTGGACCTTAGTGCTGCATCTCCCTTTTGGGGAACCCACCCTCAAGCACCAGCGGAAAGGGGGTATATTATAACCCCCGAAATTCTAGTTAGGGCCAATACCATACGTGTGTATATAGCCGTTATATCCCATTGAAAATGTGTGGGGGTAGTGGTCTGGCGGTGGTGGAAACCATAGAGAACAGTTGCCTGCGCAAAGGCTGGCATCCCGTCCACGGGAGACCTACCAAGGGCTCACCTCATTCCTAGGTGCAACTTGCTCCGAGTTTCGGACTCAACTGAAACTTGTTGCTCTCCACCAGGTGCCGCAGGATCTGCGCCTAGCTCGCGCATGCCGGAAAACTCTGTGCAGGCGTGAAACCACGGTACGATAGGCATACATCACTTCCCTTTGCTTCTAGAAGCTATTGACGGCATCGAAGTGATGATAAAGAGATGAATGAAAAGGCTATTCTGCCTCCCCTCTCTGATCTGCTTCTTGGTTGTAGTGAGGGAAGCATCGGGACGGAGAAGACTTCATTGACTTTCACTTGGAAATCTCTTGGCATGCGAACGAATGGCTCTCGGTCTTTCCTCTATTGTCTCTCTACTCCTCACTTGCCCAAAGGATCTGGAAGAAAAGGTTCACCTTTTGGAACCTGGACTGAGAAACGGACCAACAAGAAAAACAACAAGGTCAAAAGGTCGGCTTTGGGCGAGTGAGATACATGAAACATAAAGGAGATCCCAAGGCAGTAGATCATTGCCAGCCGTTTCCTGTGTGCACCATAATTGCACCATACGTAAACGGCTGGCATCTCTTCATCCATTTCCTCGTCCCAGTTGTAGCTGAGATTAAGAGGATGATGAGGGACGAGGATAAGAGAAGGATGAAACAAAAACATGCTTATGTCAAGACCGCCAGAGCGTGGCTTAGAAGCCTACGAAGCGCGCGCAACTCTTGACGTGGGTCTGATGTTTCCCAGTGGATCCAATCACCTAGAGTAAGTATCCAATTTTTACCTCCCGGATCCTAGGTTTTACATGATGGTTGCCCTTGGTTACCTACTACGGGGGGTAAATGGAATCTCTGGTTGTGATTGGGAACCCTTTGGTGGATGTCATTAACTCGGGGAGTTCTGTCCGATTTTTGTCTAGGGTGTCCCAACCATTGATGGCCAGAGGGGCACCCCCGCAAATGAAACAAGGAATGGTCTGCAGCTTGCCTTGGAACACACCCCGTGACCTGGCCGTACTAACTACAGTCCTACTGTGGATGGAAGAAATCCATTTCGCACCAGCTAAGAAACCCTGGTTCGGAAGATTCCCCTGTACATACCCACAGACCATGGTTTCAACCGTGGTTTCATTTCGTGGTGCAAACATTTCTTCCACCCAGTCACCATACCGACCACGTCCGTGCCCCGCCCAAATCCGTCGTGGCCCCGGCAACTTCATTCGCTCCGAGGTCCTTGGCTTGCGCAGCAAGCAATAGATATGGATGGATCGATCCAAGGCAGGTGGACCCCCGTTTTCATGGTGGGTCACAATTAAACCACCAGGAAACGGACCGCAGGAATTTTAGCCCATGTTTCCATTTTGCAGGGCAAGCCATTTTGGGTAACTTCATTTTTGACCCACAGACATGTTGGTTGTCCAAAAGGACACGCACCTGACAAGGGTCAACAAACGCCGGGTGAAGACCTGTTGGGATGTTCTGCTTCTCCGCGGAGAGCAATTTCTGAGAGCTGATTTCAACCTCTCCACTCCGCTTGGTGGTGCGCAAATGTAGCGATGTCAGTCAAACTGTCTCAAAATTGTTGGCTTCTTTGGTTTCCCCTTTGCCGCCCCCGCCCCCCCAAGAAAAGAGACACACCCAGATTACACATTGTTACCCATGGAACCTGCCACAAAGAAAGCGTCCCGTATCGCTGAATGGCAGACAAACACAAACCACATGAACGATACATGTATGCCAATACCAGTCTAATGCTACACGAATGAAGGTTACATCACTCACAAAACTCGTGCAACTTTCCTTCCATTGACCGAAGGATAAGCATCAGTCCTCCGGTGTCTTTGAGCTTGGCTCTTGTTTGGAATCGTCGACTCTTGCCAATGCTGCCGATTGCTGGCTGGGCTCTTGGTTCGGCCTGCTGGATTCCAATGCCAGGGATTGGTCACTTGGCAGGTTCATGCCCGCGCCACGTGTTTGAATCGATCACTGTGATGAGTGAAATGCCGCTGGAACTTTTTGAGGAATCGAACACGTGCCCAGGCCAGAGTTGAGCACGTGCAACATGCTCTCTGCATGTGCAGGTTGCAAGGTCTTTCAACTTCATTCAATCCAGTTCATCCCACGGATGCAAACACACACACACACACATCCTGGTTCAGCAGCTGCTCCCATATATGCATTTCTGCAAGGGCTAAACTACGCTTTGGGGACGCCGTCCACGAGTTTTGGGCTGATTCCTGAGCTTCTTGCTGGTGCGATGCTTAGGAAATGAGGGAATGAACCTGGGGATCCCCTTAAAGGAAACCAACAGTTGGATGGTTCATAGGGTCATTCCATTTCTCCTTCCCTGTCTAATGTTGCCCCAGGATTTATAAACCCGTCCCATTATTAGGGGGGTGGTCTCTCCAAAAGTGGACTGAATCTCAACTAAAAGTGGACACCCCCCGATCAAAATCAACCAAGGGTTTATGAATCCGGGATAATCTGGGGTTCAGTTGCCACCATTAAAACCATGGGGGGTCAATGTAACCACCATGGTTTACCCGATGTTCATCATCCAAATTGGGCCAAACACAAGCCTTCTTGGCCTTCTTATAACCCTTGTTGAACCCGTATTTGGTTTGGATGGGTGCTTTGGGGATTTGAACCCACCCCTTGCCTCCAAACCCCAAGGTTACCCTGGGGCTCAAACCACCATAAATGGGGGTCAAGAAAACCACCATGCTTTAAGGATGCTCATTATCCAAATTGGTCAAGCATGCTTTTGTGGGTCAAAATGTGGGTATGGGTGAAAGTTAAACCACCAGGGGTTCATTAATCCGGGATCAACATTATCTCAGCAGCAAGGCTGTCCTCGTGCCGTTCCGTTTCTTCCGAGCCACCGAGAACTCAAGCTTGGCGAAGATGCAGCTTCCAACGCCCGGCATCTCCTGGTTCACGGAGGCCAGCCATCAGCACCAGCGAACCAGTTGCCAGGGGAAACGATGTAAACCCCAGGGGAAACGATGTGAAAACCATGTAAAACCATGCAAAGTCATGTAAGCCCTGGAGAAAAGACATCATGGCTACTTATAGTGGTAAATTACTAGAAGCACTGGGAAGAATGACATGCTGAAGGAAATGACTTGAGACCTACTGCTCACTTCGGATTCATTTGGAAGACCCACTGATTAGTCTGGCGGAGTGCAAACAATTGATTCGAAGTGAGCACCATCCGCAAACTTTGGCTGGACCTAGACGAGGGCGCGCCCGAACCCCGACAAGGAACCCAAAACCCAACCCCCGACAAGAAACCCATCCACCCCCCGACAATTTTTGTTCTTTCACCCCACGACAAGAAATCGGTTTGGGGCCCCCGAAAGCAAAAAGCGATTTTTGGGCTCAAAAAATCGCTTTTGCTCAGCCTAGTGCCTCCCGAAAGCAAAAAGCGATTTTTGGGCTCAAAAAATCGCTTTTGCTCTGCCTGGGGCCTCCCGAAATCAAGAAGCGATTTTTGGGCTCAAAAAATCGCTTTTGCTCTGCCTGGGGCCTCCCGAAAGCAAAAAGCGATTTTTGTGCAAAAGCGATTTTTGGGCTCAAAAAATCGCTTGTGCGGGGAAGAGGAAAGAAGACTAGGGGAAGAGGAAAGAAGACTAGGGGAAGAGGAAAGAAGACTAGGGGAAGAGGAAAGAAGACTAGGGGAAGAGGAAAGAAGACTAGGGGAAGAGGAAAGAAGACTAGGGGAAGAGGAAAGAAGACTAGGGGAAGAGGAAAGAAGACTAGGGGAAGAGGAAAGAAGACTAGGGGAAGAGGAAAGAAGACTAGGGGAAGAGGAAAGAAGACTAGGGGAAGAGGAAAGAAGACTAGGGAAGACTAGGAAAGAAGACTAGGGGAAGAGGAAAGAAGACTAGGGGAAGAGGAAAGAAGACTAGGGGAAGAGGAAAGAAGACTAGGGGAAGAGGAAAGAAGACTAGGGGAAGAGGAAAGAAGACTAGGGGAAGAGGAAAGAAGACTAGGGGAAGAGGAAAGAAGACTAGGGGAAGAGGAAAGAAGACTAGGGGAAGTGGAAAGAAGATTGGGGGAAGAGGAAAGAAGACTAGGGGAAGAGGAAAGAAGACTAGGGGAAGAGGAAAGAAGACTAGGGGAAAAGGAAAGAAGACTAGGGGAAGAGGAAAAAAGACTAGGGGAAGAACTACGGGAAGAGGAAAGAAGCTTGTTGTGGGCTGCAAGCATCGCTGTCGGGGTGTCGGTGTTTTTTTGGTCGTGGGGTGAAAATAAGAAATTGTCGTGGTAACCAACGTTTTAGTCGCAGGGTTGCAGTTTTTTGGCGTGGTTAAGGCCCGTGCTGGGACCGAGACCCCCGAAATGTTCACTTTTTGCCAGTGAAAAGGATATATATATATATATTAAATATACCGAAAGAAACCCATGGCAATGTCAGAATGAAATTGGCTACGCCATGTTGCTGACCAGGGTCAAGTGCGCCCCACGGCGTAGAGAAACTCAGTGCTAACGCCCAAAAAGCGGACCTGAGCTAAGCTGCCGTGATTTGGGTGGACCGCGAATGGTCTGTAGCATAAATGGGTTCTAGCAAGCTGGCACAGATTTATTAGAAACCGTTTGGAGTCGTTTGCTTTGTTTTGGCTTCTTTTGCGCATTCCACTAAGACCTTGCGACAAGGATCATGAAGTGTTTCCAAAACTAGGGGGCCCAAGCAAGCAGCGAGATTTCTTCTCCATGTAAAACCGACCATCTATTTACGCGAAGAGATGCCCCTTGCTTCCCACTCAAACCAGATAACACCCTCTCCAGCAGCTGCCCAAGCTGGGTTCGGCGGCCAGTGAGGACCAAGCACAGCCTGAAAGCACAAGGGCTGCATGGAACATGGGGTTTATCCTTTTCCGAGGCTCGGTACCCTTTTGGGGGTTGCTTAGGGCAACGAAGGAAATTGCCGCACTCCATTTTGAGATATCCCTATTTGAAGACACACCCAAGCGGAAACCTCTTGTGCCTTCAAAACCCCAAGTTGGAACCCTGCAAAACGACATGTTGGGCTTGCTTAAAAACAAAGCTCAGGCTCAGCGCAGCGCACCATTCACAAAGTGAATATCTACATCAACACGCTGATGCCTGTCTTCAGAGCCTTTGAACCCCAAGTTCATCTTGAAACGCCAAGGTAGGACATGACCTTCAAGCTGCCTGCTCCCTATCTCTCTCTCTCTCTCTATCCCTCGCCTCTGCGGCCATTCGGTGTTGCCACTCGTGGCCTCGCTCGCTCGAAGAGATTTTTCGGCGAGCCGCATCCAGCAAGCAAACGCCGGACAAAAAACCGGCCAGGGCAGTTCCGGTTTGGCCGTGTTTCTTTTTGGGACGCTTCCGCTTCCAGAAAGTGAACGTGGTCCATACTCAACCTGTAGGATTCAAAACCCTTTCTACCATCACCTCAAAGGGCAAAGACACCTTGCTTTTTGAGGCTTCCATTTTCTGGAATTCAGGGAAACCAAGGGACGCCAACCAAACACCACCTCCTTCTGGGAGGTGTTGGTCAACCCGTCGCCTCCAATAGCTTGGTCACCGCCTGCAGCGCTTCTTCCCCCAATCGGTCCTATTGCAGGGAGTCGGGCAGTGAGGTGCCGGGCTTTGGGTCGTTTGGGGTGGTGCCTGGGATCAATTGATCTAGGGGTTGATTCCCCATTCTTTTCCACCATCGTTCTTTTCCATTTCCAGCTGTTTCTCCAGGCTTTTTGGTGGAAAGAAGGATCCCTGGAAAGAATGGGGAAGCTACCCCTAGAATTGAGACCCTTTCTGGACAGAACCTCAGAGGATGTCACGTTCTTTTTGGAGTGCGTCCCTGTTTGGGGCCCAAAAGAGTCCTTTGAGTGTGAGTTTCATGAAGACGGCTGAACAGTTAGATTTGCTGGCTGGCTGCAAGAATCTATCGTTTGTGGAGTTGGACACCATGCATGTTTCAGGCAAACCGGGCCCTGCTTTGGGATTGGAGACAAACCCACATGGTTCCAGTGCCATGTCAATAACACCATCTCCCAGAAGGGGGGCATCGTCTTGCCGGACAGGTCAGCCTTCATTTTGTGGCCAAATGACAGATTTCCGAGCCTCAGCTTTCCCATTCTATGTGCACACAGGCTTGTCTTAGATGACGCAACCAGTCATTGATAACACATTCTGGTTGCAGGCTTGCTTGGACCATTCTCCGACCTGACGTCCCAATGTTCCTGTGCCACCTTGCAATATGTTCTTTGGTGTCCCAGTCAAGCAAAAGCAGCACAAGGGCAACTTGTCTGCCCATTCTGTCTAAAATATTTTGTCAGTCGAGCAGAAACACACCCTACTTCAACCAGTTGTTGTTGTTGTTGTTGTTGTTGTTGTTGTTGTTGTTGTTGTTGTTGTTGTTGTTGTTGTTGTTGTTGTTGTTGTTGTTGTTGTTGTTGTTGTTGTTGTTGTTGTTGTTGTTGTTGTTGTTGTTGTTGTTGTTGTTGTTGTTGTTGTTGTTGTTGTTGTTGTTGTTGTTGTTGTTGTTGTTGTTGTTGTTGTTGTTGTTGTTGTTGTTGTTGTTGTTGTTGTTGTTGTTGTTGTTGTTGTTGTTGTTGTTGTTGTTGTTGTTGTTGTTGTTGTTGTTGTTGTTGTTGTTGTTGTTGTTGTTGTTGTTGTTGTTGTTGTTGTTGTTGTTGTTGTTGTTGTTGTTGTTGTTGTTGTTGTTGTTGTTGTTGTTGTTGTTGTTGTTGTTGTTGTTGTTGTTGTTGTTGTTGTTGTTGTGTTTGTTGTTGTTGTTGTTGTTGTTGTTGTTGTTGTTGTTGTTGTTGTTGTTGTTGTTGTTGTTGTTGTTGTTGTTGTTGTTGTTGTTGTTGTTGTTGTTGTTGTTGTTGTTGTTGTTGTTGTTTCATGCGCACGCCATCAAGTCAAACCAACACGTGACACCGGTCTCGCTGTGAATCTTAAACACCTAATTATAATATGTGTATATATATATATATACATTTGTCTCCAATGAGTCCCCTCAATTTTGTACATACCATACCAGTGTATCTCCAAAGAGAATGTCAACATGGGTTGTGTCCTGTCTTCCTCAATTAATACTCGCACAGCAAAGAACGTATATCTTTTTGTAGCGAGGAACTCCGCTCGCCCAGACGCCCAATTGCCCGGTCCGAGGATTTCTCCGTATCTTTCAGGGTGTCTGCGCCAGCTACTAGCAGCACGCCGCCCTCTGCTGCTCGTGCCTAGGCATGAAAATAGAAAGGTGCAAAGTACACTCTCTTACCTTCTTTCCATGGATTCAAAGTGGACAAAAGGGCTTTTTTGAGATGGTTGTCTTCCAAAACCCTTGTCCACTGCCATGATTCTTGGGAAGGGGTATGTCTCCCACCGCGCGTCCGAAGCATGTCAACAGGCAGTCACTGGAACCTCCTCTTACAGCCCAAACAGCAGAATCTGTTTGCTTCGTGGACTCAAGCCCTTTCCCACTCTCCCAACCCCCCAGTTCGCCTCCCAAACATCGCAACCTCTGCCGTCAGACCTACCAAATTGTTGCCCCCGCTCATGGCTTTCCAATCCGGGAAAGGGATTCCTTTTCCCGCTCATGGGAAGGGATCCCTTGTCCCGCTCATGGGCTGGAAAGACCCTGAACCTGGGTTCCCTTTTTCCAAGCTAACACGTGCTTGGAGGGGTTGCCTGCTGGGAAATGCAGGCATGTGTTGGCTGTGCAGGCTCCTGCAAGCCCAGGTAGCTGGCCCTGTTAGCCTTTGGGTGTCGGAAGGAAATCTCTCCTGCTGATGGAAACCAAAGGGACGCCGGCAACCAAAGGGACTTGGGTTCTTTTTCTCCCAGCTGTGGGCCCAACTGCGGCAGGAAGGGGTCCACTGGTTGAATGGTTGGTTGGTTGCTTGGCTTGCTTGTTTGCTTGCTTCCTTGCTTCTTGTTTGCCCGGTTGGTTGGTTGGTTGGTTGAGGCAAACCAAAAGGAAGAGCATTCTGAGGTCCCGACAGCTTGAGTCACATGTGTCATGATACCCGCCAGCGCGGCCAAAACAAGGCCGGTGCCAAGAAGGAATTTTGAGGCAAGCGGGCCATGTCGCAACTTGAGGAGGCGACCATCTTCTTTATCTTCGTGTCGACCTGAAGGCAAACAAGCAAGAAAGAAACAAGGAAAGGATTAATTCAAAGAAAGCAGCGCACGGGATCATGCAAGCAAGAAACCAAGCAAGCAAACAAGCCAGCAAAGCGAAACAAAGCACAGCAAAGCAAGACAAAACAAAGCGACGCAAGCAAACAAGCACCAAACCCAAGCTAAAACAAGCCAAGCCAAAGCAAAGCCGCCAAGCGCCCAAGCAACCACGCAATGAAGCAACCAAGCAACCAAGCAAGTGGTTGCTGAGACTCGGGCATCGCCGCCTGTACAGCCGGCGACAATGTCCTGGCGTTTTTTGCCGAATAACAAATGATGGGAGGGTTCGAGAACGGGCGCCTTTCACTTTCCATGCCTCGATATGCTCCCCTTTTAAGCCACGGGTCAACAGGTCCAGGGAAAGGCGTAAACACTGTTCAACAACCCCCCTGGCGTGCGTCTGAAAAAAGCTTGGGCTCCCTTCAGGTTCTTCAAGAAAGGGCTTTCTAATCTTATGTTGTTGCAGCACCAAACCGAGTCCGAACCTGTCCCGTCTTCTGCCTCCGGGATTCCCTTCTCAATGCATCACACCTGCCTACAAACTTCGAACATCCTTTGCTGTCTTGCTAGCGCCTTGCACGTCTCCTCTGCACAACTGATCAATGAGGTTGAGGGCAATTAAGCTCGCGATCCCCTATGATATATATATATATATACATATTTATATCTATACATATATACAGGCATCATAGATATTCAATAGGGAATGTTAAGTAATGTTCATTGCCCCTGGCTCTGCTCCCCCAAATGTCCACAGCGACAAATATACCTCGTACTCACTCAGCTCCTTTCGGGTCACCTCCACCACGTGACCACTGGAGAGAACCCCAAACCTTCAGCTCGGTTTGGTTGGATCCAAACCCATTTTGGAAACCCTCCCAGCCTTTTCACATGGAACCTGACGTTCCGGAAATCCTGGTTTAGACTATGTTCCTTTTAAAGGGACCCAACGTCAGGTTCCAAGTCAATTGGTGGCAGGGTACATCCTCCGAATCTCCAAGCTCAAAAGTGACTTGGAGAACCCTCTCAACATGCAACCACTTTCATAGCCCCAGGCGGACATGTGCTGCGACCCGCCACAACCATTGGAGCCATCGCAACAAAATGGGCTCTCACACAGCACAGCTTCCCAACATTCAACCTAAAATCAAAAAGGGAAACCCAGATGGCCCCAACACTAAGAAAGTGCTTTGTCACTGCGGGTCAATGTCTCGGCCAAACGCCGCTAAGGCCTTGGCTTCAACAGCATGCCTCCCAGGACCTGCGCCACTTTGCCAGCCCCGGAGCCTCAGCCAGCGGGCTGTTTGGACTAAACTTATCCAGGGATGTGGCCATGGCTCAACACCCAAATCGTACCCCCAGTGAAGATCCCAATCCAACCACTAAAATAGTACTAAAAGGGGTGGTGCACCTACCCCAAAATGGTACCATCGGTTTTGACCCCCAGCCATGAGCAAAGGGGGAACCACACCATGTGAGTCACAATAAAACCCCAGTATTAAACCGCTCTGCTCAAATCCATGCAAGGGATTGAAAAGGCGGCCGCAACTATTTCCGTCTGCGACTGCCCCTTACTAACCTTCATCTACCCGGGGTTTGATTGTGACCCATTTTGGGTTGATGCGACAGGGTAAGCCCACCCGCAAACCAAATCCATCCGGAAAAAAAACATTAAACAAAAAAAACATACAAAAAATACAACAGCTTCCTGTCGAAACGAGCGCTTTGCGAGCGCCCGGCCAGGTGTGCCTTGCATGAAGGCGAAGTGCAACGCCCTGGCTGTGGCATCGTTGGTCACAGCGCTGCGCCGTCGCCTCAGTGGGACTCGTCGGGAGTCGTCTTTCTTTGAGGCTCGGAAGACCTAGATGGTTGCTTTGTTTTTTGCTTGGTCTAAGACTTGGGGGAGTGAAGGGAGATCAAAAGGAAAACAATTTGTTGTTTGAGGGAATCCATATTTTCACAGTCACAAACAATCATCGCAATCATTGCCTCTGGAACAGAAGGAGGTGCTACACCCCACGTGGCATGGAGATCAACTTCCTGCCAGACCTAGTCAATTGCAGGAGTCCTGCGATTCGTAAGCACCTCCATTTTCTTTGCGGGGTGCGCTCGGGTATGCTTCAAAGATCAGAGGTAGCTTGGCCCGTGAAGGGAAACCCCAAGAAAATCACCAGGGATGTTCTACTCTGCTTTAATGACTCGGAGCAACCCTGGAAACAACTTGGGAAATTGTCCTGTCAGCTATTGACTTCACATCTACACATCTGAATTGGGGACCCTTTAGTAGATGTCATTTAAGTGGGGACTTATATCCACCAACCACTTTTGAGGGTGCTTCCAACCAATCCAATGTCATATCCATCGTTCCGTTTGAGGCTGTGATCCTCCTCGTCAAGAGCATCGACCAGCCACTCCCTCTGGGGATTGCACAGCCCGGTCAAACAACACGCTCGCGGTGTATTCACTTTTGTTTAGGCCGGGCAGTCCATCCTAATCCCATACACCGGATTTAGGAGCATACACAGGAATGCTCACAAGTATGGCTGCATGCTGGGCGCTCTTGCTCGACAGCTCCAGTTTGCAAATCGCCACTTTTCAGTAAACCATGTGCAAGTGCTGCAAAGCGGCATGGGGCCTAGTCGCAGCCCTATCGCTAGGGGTATCGTTAGGGGTGCCGCTACCAGGGGCCCTTTTTGGGGGAACATCACGCAGCGGCTCAACATCGAGCCAAACCGCTCGGCCACAGTCACTACATGACTGTGGCTCAAAAATCCGGTACCAAAATGAAGCCCTGGTAAGTGGAAACATGGACCAACACCTGCGTAACTCCTCCTGTTTAATTTTGAGCCACACCCACATCTTGAAGGGTACGGTTCAGGGTAGGGTTGTTGGGCAGTCCCTTAAAGTCCCTTAGCGTGTTCCAACCAAAACCAGAAATCGACGCGAGCGCTTGTGTGGTACACCCTTGTGTGATTGAAATGATGGTTATTTTGACCCCGTCTCAAATGATTTCAGTCAATCCACGCATTGAAAGAACGAGGTAGATGCAGGCTACAGGCTTCAGAGTTTCAGCGTTTAACTACCTACCTCATGCAGCCTGCTGAAACGCAGAAACACCACAGCAGGTCGATTCTGGCGCCTCTTCCAAACTGCTTTCTGGAGCTTTGCAATGGGATGCGATAGGGAGACTTTCAGGCAGCTACCAAAAGGCCCCAGTGTTCTGGAAATGAGGGGCGATGATTCTTGTTGACCTTCGTTGCCAGTTTGGGCTGGTCCAAAAAGCAAGGGGTTGGGAAACGCGCGGGTGGACATCATTGGGGAATTGAGGTCACCAGCCATTCTTGCTGGAGTTCTCTTTTCAAAAAAAAAAACAAATACATATCATGCAGTTGGGTAAAACTAGAAAGCACAATTCTCCCAGTGTGGTTTAGTCATCCTCTTTACTTACCACATCCAGCGGGAATTGTGCCATCCACGTTCACCCTGGCGTAGCCTTCTACTCACTTCCTGAGGGATTGGCCAAGCAAGCCTTCCAACCTGGTTCTTCGCCACGCAAATATCTCAACCCAAGAAGTGACTAAAGTCCAGGAACTCAGAAGTTACCCCAATACAGAAACATAAGCTGCAAGGAACCTGTGAGGGATTCCTGAACCATGGGATCCCTTTGAGTCTGTGTCCCAACAAGCAAAACAAAGGCTTTGTTTCAAACCAGGGTATCCCCCAACTGGTGGCTTGAGTTTCGCTTGAAAAACACCGCCCAAAAAGGGATCCAAAAACACTCGCCCCTTTCAGACACCCTGGACCTGTTCTTTTTGGCCAACCTGGACAGGGGCCCTAACCCTAAACTGGAAAAAAGGTACGCTCCTCTCCACAAACCCGACATTTCGGGGTCCAAAACGATTTTCCTGTGCAAAACAACCTGTTGGGTTCCACGTTAGTCGACAAAAGAGGATTCCCTTACAGAAAACCACGGGAGATTGTTTTTCTCTGGGCCATTCCATTTCTCATTCCCTGCATCTCTCACACCAGCAAGCAGCAACAAAAGGAACCGCCAGGATCGCCAGGGTTTTGGGAACCTAATAATTGCCTCCAGGGATTCCTAATAGTTGGGGTCATTCTACCCACCGCCCCAAAAGCGAAGACGTTTCGTTCCGGGCGTTCCCGGCTGAACTTCGATGAAGTTCCGCGTGTGGCGGATCGACTCCTTCGCCTCCTTTAGGCCAATGAGCCTCAAACAGCGCGAGGCAAAAACGGGGGCCAGGTGGCTGTGGTCAAAAGTAGGGTAACCCCAAAATGGGTTGCCATGGTAAATGGAAACATGGACTAAAACCTGCGGTCCAATTCCTGGTTCAATTTTGACCCGTACCCAGGTGTTCTCAAAAGCCGGGCTCCTTGATGACATTTTGAGTGATGTTTGACCAGCCATGGGTGCGTGTGGCCTCTATGGATTGATTCATTCATCTAGCTGTCTATATATTTACATATATATATATATATACACATATATATATACACGTATTTGTTATCTGGCTATTGATTTGCTTTCTATTGTTCCATCATGTCTCCAACTCCCCAAGGTAGACTCTACCTTCCCCGAAAGCTACTCGAGAAGGGCTGAACACACGCCGTTGCCACTGGCTCATTTGAAGGTCCCAGGGTCAAGCACTTCAAGTGGCACATGCGGCATATAAAAGAAACGGCAAGGGGAACAAGGACACAGGCGACAGATCTTCCACCTGACACAGCTCACCTAAGATTGGTTGAGGTGGAGAACTCCTCGGCAATGTGGGTGAGTCTATTTTTACCACACTCAGGTGGGTGTGTCTTTTTCTCAGGGTACCCCCTTTTTGTAGTTAGGCAAACCCCCAAGAAGGAAACCATCCACTGTTGGGTCCCTCCCCCTCAAAAACAAAACAACAAACACACGCCCATGTGCCATTCTACCGAGTAACTGTTCCAGCTCCAGCTCCAAGTCGAAGCTTTCTGCATCTGGTGCCTCCGACCTGCGTTGCGCGACGGGTGGATAGCCATCCCAGCGTTCAAGTGTGGCGTGTGCTTGTTTGAGAGTACACGTTTTGCGGTTGGTTGAACGAAGACACACCCATTCTGCGGGAACACCTGTACTTTGAGACAAACTCCATAATTATGAGCGACAGCCACCTGTCATTGAGTGTGCCCATGTCCCGCCAGAGCCTTGACCAGTGCTATCTCAAGGCCCCTGCACTGAAACAACTTCTCAAGGCCCCTGCACTTGCAGGTTGCGGATATCTTCATCCGCGAGCTCCGGGGGAACCTCAGAGTGTGGCAGCTGTCTGACCGGGCGCGAGCGGCTCCACGAGAACCGAAAATACCGCGTTGCGGCTCCTGCACCAGGACCACAAGGACCAGGCACTGTCCACAATCTACATAATGCATGTTTCTATGCAGGAACACCTTGGTATTCGGAGGGTGTCCTACCCTGTTTACACATGTGCCTGTGTATATGTGCTCACAGGGAATTTCAAAATGGTCGGCCCTTTTTGGATGCTGGCAAAGGGCAACCAAAAAACATATATACAATTTTCATATCAATACATGTATGAAGGTCTTGTTGGGATGTAAATTCCCAAAAGCGCTGGAAGTGTGCGCCACGGCGATGCCAAAGGCGCATACGATGGTACATAGCCCCGTCACGCTAAATCTTGATTACAAGGGCATCTCATGTGTATATATATATGTATATATATATATATGTATATATATATATATATATGTGTATATATATATATATATGTACATATTATATACATACGCAAAACTACCTCGATAGTCTGACCACCAAACGGCCGTATGTTTTTTCCAGCGTATCATGTTGCACACGGCCTGGGCCCTCGGACTAGCTCCACCTCCTCGAGCGCCTTTTCGGATAGCGGTTCAACCGACCAAACCCGGCGGGAAGGTCTCGCCATTGGTTGCCCTGGTTGGCCGCCCCTCCCAAAAACTATGGGTAGATGTTCACTTTACAAAAGGCGGCTGGGGCACTTGGCTTTTTTGTGGGGGCCAGCTGCTTTTCTTTTGATTGCGAACCCTCCATTTCTGAGTTTTGAGGCAACCAGCCCATGCCCCACGGTCAGGCGGGCATCTTTTAAGGCTGCACTTTTTGAGGCAGCCTGACACTCGGAAAGAATCCAAGGCCAATTTAAAACTTCACCTAGTTAGTTGGGGGGGGGGGGCAGGGGGCGGCGGTATTTTGAGACATTGCTTTTGTTATCCTGAGATGTCCTCCGATCCCCTACTAAAAGTGACTACCTTTTAGTGGGTCAAATGAAACCCCCCCACCAAACCCGGAAAAAAAACCCGAGGAGAACACGTTAAGAAACCGGATGGCCGGGCGCCACGTATCACGATGCTTGGCTTTGCGTGTTGGCTCCTGCCTGATAGATCCCGAGGCCAGGCTGGCATCGGAAGTATCGCTCATTCTTGTACCTGGACCGCGAAGAGGCGAACGCCGAGCGACAAGAAGTTGGACGCTGTGAAGATTTCTCTAAATCTCCGCTTTTTTGTTTTCTCTACAAATGGTATGCGCTCCATTTTTGAAATGTGGGTATGCTTCCAAAGCCAGTTGATGCCAACCCCTTGTGAAAAAAGGGTGAGGTGGCTTTGCATACCTGGGCTGCTTTCGACAATAAAATGCTTGCTTTGTTCAGTCAAATCTCCACCTCCATTCAAAACCTCAAAAGCGACTTCCCAAGCTTAGAGCAGCACGTCTACTCCCAAGTTCCCATCTCTGCTCGCGTCCGTCGCACATGCCGTCGCAGTCAGAAGTGGACCGCTTTTCGTCCAGCTTCACACCTGCGATCAGGGAGTGAGGTTCATTGGAAGCCAACCCAGTACCTAAAGCTTCAAACACCAGTAAAAACGTAAGACCCCGGCAATACAAAAAAAAGAGGTGTCATACCTAAGCATCTACAGGTTTTTGCAGCCCTAGTGCCGATCAATTGGGATGCCAACTCAAACGTTGTGCTTGGCGGCCAAACTGCCACCACTTTTGTCTTCGGACATCAAGCGGACATGCGGCATCAATATTGGCGGCGCCATGATTTGAAGGGCCTGGACTAAGCATCGAAAGCTTGAGGTATCCCAGAACTCTGTCACCCATCCAGTGATGGTAAAACAACTCACTTTCCTTCTTGATGTTTGACACAAGTATAAGTTATGCAGTTGTTTGGTCACGGGAGCCCCTCCCAAAACAAAAGCAACGTACCAATCGCACCGCTGAAGGGCTGCGGTCATTCCAGGCCTGCAACTGTCTCGCCGCCAGCAAAGGCCGCGGGTCCAATGTACATCAACTGGCCGAAAACGAAAATGCCGCGAGCCCCAAGCAAGATTGCTAAAAAATGACGGCGGAGAGGCCCCTCGCGGTTTGTGAGGAATTCCCCCTGTCCTCCTCAATTCAACGACCTTGAATTGGGGAACTGCTTTTGCATGATGTTTGAAGGAAGGAAGAGAACCACCCAAGTCAGCATGGGTACTGGGTGTGGGGGAAGCAGAGTTGAGGGGTGGAGATGCAGGGTCGATGGTGGGAACCGGAATTGGAAACAACCAACTGCATCCTTGCTTCTCCCACATCCCGGCCAATTGGTTACATGGGTCTGTCTTCTTTTGAGGGTACCCCTAAAAAGGCGGACCCATATAAACCCTCAGGTTTGCATTTTAACAAAGACCAAGGGACAATGAGCGAGTTTGCTGACTTCTGTTGAGAACTTTGTGATGTTCCACATGAGCCATAAACAAACAATTGGCACTTAAGTTGACCGAAATGGTGGTGTCCCTTTGGTGTTTCTTTGAACCAATCCCACGCGCTGATTCCTTGTGGCTCTGCCCCGCCTCGCCGTAGCGGACCGGCGGGCCTTTTAGCTTGACCCGATCCTGGGCGACTCACTGGGTGTCTTCTGGGAAGCATCGTTGAATTCCAGAAAATGAGGAATGAGCCGAACTGCGATATTTGCCATTCAATGGGGAATGTTACCCATTGTCATTTGGGGGCCAGGAATATTGATCAACCCCCAAATATGTCCCACGTCCTCGAACAACAACTGGAAAAAAAGAAGGCTCTCAGCAGATTTCGTCAGATCGCGCTCAGGTCCCGGCACCTACATACATACGGTCGTCGCCTAAGTCGCAAGGTCTCGCCCAGCATTCCTTTGCCGATATGGGTGGCTCGTCCCCAAAATAGTTGGTTTCCTGTTGGTTCCCTTTAAAACCAACCAAAAAGGGGTACCATTAAAAAGCAACAACATATACATATATATATATATATGTATATATAAGAATATATATATATAAGAAAATCACAAGCACAACACAAGCGCAACATAAGCGCAACATAAGCTTTAATAAGCTGTTAATAAACTTTGATAAGCTTTCATAAAATTTAATAAGCTTTAAACAGCTCTAGTAAGCTTTAACAAGCCCAAAATAAGCCTTGAATAGCAACTAAATGGCTGGCACTAGCATGTCAAAGCACGCATTTTCCGGTATCTAGCCAGCTGCGCAGCATTCCCGACAGCGCTGAATAAGACCATACCTGCCGGTAAGTGACTCAGCCTCAGCAAAGCCAAACACTTCAAACATCACCCCAAAATAGCCGCCAACCTTGAGCGGCTCAGTGCTGGCATCATCTCCAATGGAACTCAGGGCCAGGGAACGAAGGCTATGACTGCCCTGAATCTCAGGCCTTATGTTGCTACTATGTTGCCCTTATCAAAGCTTAATACGCCTTGCAAAAATTACAAGGACATCAGCTTTAATAAGCTTTAATAAACTTTAGTAAGCTTTGATAAGCTTTCATAAGCTTAAATAAGGGCAAACTAGGAAGAACCTGTGTAACCCCTGGAGCCACATGAAAATTGTGGATTTGTGGGTGAATTTGGTGGGACCCCTGAAAAAAACTATGAATATGTCCCTGCTTCCAAACGAAACTCGCCCCTCTTGATGTTTCACACCACCAAAGTTGCCAGCCAGTTGTGACGTAGAACTCAGCTTGGGACTCGCCACCTCCTTGACAATGCCCTGCCAAATGCCAACTACTTGCCCTCGACATGCCCAGGCTGCAGTTTTCCATACATGTTCATTGCTAGACATGCGGCGCGCACACACGAACACACAGACACAAACACAACACATGTCTATGTCTTCATAAGTTGTGCGCTTTAGATGAAAGTCGGCTTGACTGGGTCAAGCGGAACTGCTGAACAGCTGCGGCATGCAAATGCGAGTGTCTGGGTGTCCCAGAATAGGGACCCCACCCTTTAGAGAGGGTGTTCAAAGAAAAACCACAAAAATAACAAAAGCTTGAAGGCGTCCCTTTTTGGGAAATCCTCTCATTTGTTGGGTGCCCCACCCTTTAAAGACCGTGTTCAAAGGAAAACCATTGTTTAAGGGCGGGTCATCCCCACTTTGCTTTCTTTCTGCGGCATCTCCGGCCTTGCGAGGTGTGGCGGCCTTTGCCTGCACAAGTGTCATGCCGTCAGCTCAGCTCCGCTTTGGGTGGTCTTGGTTCCCCTAAGAAAAACCCCTAACATGGAACCTGCCAGGGTGGAAAACCATGATCCTTTAACACGAAGCCTCGGGTGGGTTCCGTCATAGTGGACAGAAGGGTACCATCAAGATTCTCGAAACCGTCCCTAGGCTGTCATCTTGCCAACTGAGTCGCTCACAAAGGTAGAAGCTTGGTTGCGGGAAAGCTGCCCTCCCACAAAGACCATAGAGCAAACGCCCAGCGCCGTGTCCTTCAGTTGAACCGTCGGAACTTGGACTGTGGTGCTTGGGCGGGGGTGGAAAACGGCAAAACACATCTCAAGAGGGGCGTGTTTGTTCACCATATGTGCTTCCAGGTTCTGTGTTGGCCCTGGGCCCCATTATACGACACACGCACATCCCTATGTCACAAGCCCTGGCCCTTCCGCATCTCTTTTTGGCCGCCTATCCGCATCTCTTCTGCGCACAGAGTAACTTGGAAAGCTAAGCCTACACATCTGATTTAGAACGACGCCCGCATACCTACAAAGTCACACAAACCTGTTGGGACCCCCCCGCCTTGTGGGCAGATGACGGCCGATGGCTGGGAGTTGCCTCAAGCCGCTTGAGGCCAAGGCCCCTTGGGCGAGTCTCTCTCAGGTCTTGAGGCCCCCGCATCGCCAGGGGTGGGGGAAGAACACGCGCTGGATGCCTGACATGGCCATGCACTTGCGAGAAACAGAGACAGCGAGCTGATGAAACGCTTGGAATCGCTCGAACTTCTTCCACTGAATATCGCGAGTGAGTTGTCCAAAAGAAGCACCAGGAAACGTGGCAGTGGGTCAAACATAGATACCCAAGATGGAACCTTGGTAAATGGAAACGTGGACTAAAAAACCTGCGGTCCAAGTCCTGGTAAATTTTGACCCACGCCCACATCTGCTTCCTCCAATCAGAGATTCTTCGACGCCGGACAAGCCACGCTCTGGCCGCCTTCTTGGGTGTCGGCATCACCGGCTTCTTTGGTGGCCTCAGATCGAGCGAACTGAACCTCGCCTGAGCAATCCGTCCGCAGAAACCGGTCGCCGTTTCGCTGGCCCCCGCAAAAGTCGCACACCTCTAATGAGTCACAACCAAAACTCGGTATCAACATGGTCTACCCGGAACCATGTAAAGAAATAAGAAGGCGGCCGGCGGCCGCGGCTATTTACGCTTGAGAGTATCCCTTACTAACCTTCATCTATCCCCGGGTTTTGAGCAGGGATCCTTACATTATACACCTGAACATTGCCTTGTAAATGGTGGCTTCCCTTTGGTGTTGCAAAGCAACATGTTTCAAATGGTTGCAAAATGGAGATCTTTTAAGGAGCCCTGTTGAGTGTGGCTCAACTTACTTCAGGAGCCAGAGAGCGCCTGCGTTTTGCCTCCGCGCGGAAGTAGCTGGGACCAAAGCACAGCAGGTGTCGCACTCTTGGAACTCGGCGGGGGGGCACCGGCCTGCGGCTCGACAAGGCGCCCAAGGATTGGGGCGTTTTGCATATTCTGCGGATTGACTAGGTCCTCCAGTAGAGAGGTTAGAATATGGGTGCCCGATTTTTCCCCTGTAGTCTATTTTAGCAGGGGAACCCTCCCCCAAAAAGAAACGGCAAAAGGGCACTACGGGGGAACTAGTTGATGGCCTCTGGCCTCTTTGCGCTCGGTGATACTCCAGAGCCCCTTGAGTTGTAGCATGCTAGAGTTCAACTTTGAGCAGCTCCAAGCTGCACCCTGAAGAGACTGCTCAAGACAAAGTTTCCTGGATCCCCGGGTTGCTGATGCTATGTGAGGGATGGGGGTTGGGGCGCCGAACCCTGCAAAGGTTGCCATGACAGATAGGATCCAACTGACCAGGCTGCAAAGATTGGAAGTCATTGAGGGACCTGGGTTCCTTAAGGTGACGTCCTTCCATGTTTACCCTCTCACACAGCTTGAAGCGAAACCTCCAAAACGTCATAATGTCCTTCGTTAGGGACCCCTGCACCCCTGCCGTTTTGGCTCAGTACTACAACGGGCAACAAAAATCAAACACATGCTGCCACAATCATGACTAACAATGGGCTTCAAAGTACTAAATAGACCAACTGTAAATAAGCTATGAAAAAAGCAATGGAGCCCTTGTATACGTACATAAGAAACATATATAGTAACACATACACAGTAACATATATATATATATATTATGTTTACATACATTGTCATTCTGTTTCGGAGTGCCCGCAAACAGGTTCTAGGCCCGCAGCATAGGTGTCCTTGTTTGGAAAATCGATGGCCCTGGTGCATTGAACTAGCTAAAACCAGGAATCGCCCTCTATTTCACCAAACCAACCAAAGCTTGCTGGTGCTCAGGGAATGTGGGAATGCAGGGGTTCCCTTGAAGGAAGCCACCAGGATGGTTTAGAAGGGTCCTTCCAACCGATTTTTCCTACCTACACCAGGCAAGCCCGGCGGCCCTTCTCATTCCACGGCGCAAAACACCGCGCCCTGCGCGCTTTTCCCCCCGCGCCTTGCCGCTGGGCGGCTTGCCGAAGGGCCGGACCCTGGAAGGCTCCGCCGCCTCCTGGCCGCGACACGCAGCCCCGCGGCTTCCCGCGGCTTCCCGCGGCTCGGCCCTTGGCCCAAGCCGCGGCTTCGGCGGCGGTTTCTTCGGAGTCGTGCGGGGCGTTTTTTGGAGCGGCCGCACCGAGGATGTTTTTTTACAGGCCTCAAACAAAGACTTGGCCAGAACCCGAACAGCTTCTTAATTGCAGTTGCCTTTCTTTTTTTGCAGCGGTCCATGGGCTTCCCATGCGCCTTGGTTCATTTTTACACACATGCCGGAATCATGGGAATCACATGGAATCATATTCTGACATCAACACACACACACACACAATATTATGATGTACCAAAACATCAAGATTGAATGTCTTGCCCACAAATCCTGACTTGGGGCCCCACGGTCAAACTCATGAGATCTCATACATGGTCTCAAAAGCCCCAAGGGCTGGTTTAGTGCTGGTACCTTCCTTCCCATTTGGTTTCAATGCTCTTGCCAATCCTAAAATGCGTATATGGAGGCCAAACAACTTCCACCTTCTCCCCCCTTGAGCTCCCATATCAACTTGCAGGCGGCAAACCTCAGCAAAACCTTCAGTGTTCGCCAAATCGTGTTTCGGACATCAAACCTCTCCAAGATGCCGAGGAATCACGTTGTAAACGTGTACTCGCAGTTGGTCAAAACTAGGTAACCCTTTGGGGAGAGTGACTCACAGGGGATAAGCATGGCAGATGCCATGGGGGGAAGGTCCCTGGCGTTCACACGCCAGGTGTATCAGAGTTTGCGCCAGAATCAAAGTCTATTTTCTCAGAGAGACGATCCATGCTCTCAGGGCCATGTCCTTGCGCGTCAGGTACCGCAAGCCTTTTCAGGTTGGCTTGGGAAAGTCATGCTAACTCTGTTGGGCTGCCCCCTTCGACACATATGAGTCATAGTCAAGATCCGGTAGTAGCATGGTCTACCCAGAACCATGTGAAGAATTAGGAAATTTATGGTTGGGATTGTCCCTTACTAACCTTCATCTACCCGGGTTTCGATTGTGGCTCATATGACGCCTCTTTCCTGCCTTAAGAGTGCCACTTCCATCAGTGTGCTCCAGTTTGAGCTTGCCATCTGGTCGGACCTGCCGATGTCACGCGATTTCTCGATTTCCCATTGGCAGTCCAACCAATCTGCACGTCCCGGACTTCTCAAACCTGGCACCCGGCAAGGTTCGGAAGGAACCCTCAGAAGTAGAAGGGCTTCTTAGGGTTCTCAGGCGTCTTCGGCTTCTCTCAGCGTAAACATTTCTACTTAAAAACGGCCCCGCAAATCTCTCCGTCCGAGTGCAAACACACGCTCCCGCTCTGTGGGCTGGGCCTGGGCGATCTTGCACTCGATCCATTCAGAAAACGATGGACCTCGAGTCTCAATGTGGGAGAAACCCGTGGGCCAAAAGCAATCACTTAGAGGCGGCTCCAAATTCTGTGACACAAACTACTGCCGAGAAATGCTGGCACACCATCCCATGGTCCCATGGTCGGGCCCTAGCTTTGACTTCAATATGCAGGCGGGAGCTACCTGCTCAGTTTCTGATCCTCAGCAATCTGTGGCTACAAGGGAAACCACCATCGTTCATAGGAAAGGATTGATTTTGACCCAGGTAAACCTTTGTCCGCCTGCAAGCTTTCCGATTCGGGCGCGGAGCTGTAGTATTCCACTCGCTGCCCCACATAGAACTCAGACATCCTCGGTGCGAGGGTAACCCCAAAATGGCACCCTGGTAAATCCTGTGGTCTCCTGGTGGTTTTATTTTGACCCACACCCAAATAACATCTGCTGAAACTCGACCCTCCGCACCCAGCACAACCTTGCAGCACAAATTCTCACGTCCACCTTTGCCACAGTTCGCATAGTGCTTCTTTGTTCAAGGCGAGATCTTGCTTCATTGAAGGCCCTCCCGTTTTAGTACACTGGTGCTTTAGATACGGGGACATTGCAACTGTGAAGTGTGCCATGAGAGGCCTGGCGAGTGCAAAGGCCCTGACCCAAGGCTCACCGCAACAATGGCATGGAGCAAAGCAAACTTTGGCTTTGCGCTTTTTCTATAGTTGCAACACCTTGCTTCGATCCAAGCCGTCTTCTCTGGGAAGGATGTTGCAGCTGATCCGTCATCTGCAAGTCTAAGCGGCGTTTAGCTTGAGTAGCAACTATTGCACACGCACACACATACGCACACTGCTGTGTGACTCTGTTCCTGCTTTGTGCGCTTTTGGTGCTCTTTGACGACATGCTGTACTGCCTACTGCAGAGAAATGGCCACGCACGCCGGTCTTCAACTAAGTACAGCTCAATAAGACCGTGGAGAAACTACATCTGCCAACATGTCCACAGCTCCAATTCGTCCAAAGGCCAACTCCTTTTCTCAGCGCCTTGCTCTTGACTAATCCGTGACTGAGGGACGGAGCCTCAAGCTAAGGATCAACGGGATGAGGGAACCCGATTAAGTCGGGCCCTGTCGCCCCGCCATCTCTCGAATTTGAGTATACGCCATGTATCCGAATCCACGCTGCTTTCCTTCACTATGGAGGTCCACATAAGCACTACATCAGTCACATGGAGGTCCACGTAACCACTGACAATTTCTAAGGGTGTTCCAACCACAACAATCATAAGCAGTTGAACCACTGTCAAAATATGCAGCTACCGTAAAGGACACGGCAAAAACCAGCAAGTCCCTCAAAAACCAGCGAGTCCCCTCGCTTTTGTGGGAGATTCAGTGTGCCCAAATGGACCATACTGGATATGACCTTATGCTACTAATGAAAGCGTATGGATCTCGTCGACGCGGTAAACATCTTGACTCACCAGCCAACTCCGTTCGGATGCTGGTGACTGGGAAGCCAGGACGGCTTTCACTTGGCTTGGTGTGTGTGTGTGTGTGTTCAACCCTACCTAGGATCCTTTTGCTATAATAGGCACAAATGCGCAAGATGGCCAGGGATTTGATCTTGGACATGATGCCGTTCTTGATTCCGCATTGGGGGCTTTTACATGTGACCGCCGTGACCGCTCCCTAGTTTCAAAAGCCGCAGCAACTCAGTAACTCAATAACTGTCAGTCTCCGGATTGGGCTTTTACATGTGACCGCTCCCGAGTTGCAGTCTGCTAGTCTGCTGGTATTCATGTATTGCAAATCATGACCCATCACTACCAGTGAGTTGTTCGGGCTGTTCAAACAAAATGGCACGAAGCAACCAAATCTTCTTTGAGTTTCATCGGTCGAGCACTACTCTCTTTTTGTTTTTTTTGCACGAGGCTGCGGAGGCTTCATGCGCTGTCACCCCAAACATGACATGCGTCTCTCCCTCTTGCCATAAACTTGGTAGGCTGACACTTGGTTGCTGTTGACCCCCCTGCAAAAAGTTGAACTTTTTGGGAGTTTAGTGGAAAACCCATTGATTTCCCAAAAAGTTAAAGTCTAAAGATCCACAGTAGCAGTAAAGGACACTTCGACTTCCATGAGAACCCCAACCCGCCTTGGTAGGTCCCATGTCATCCGCCCCAAGAGAAACAAAAACAAAGCGGAAGCTTTCCGCATCATCTCCGCAAGTCTTGGAAGACACAAAACGAGAAAGCTTTGGTTCAGCCAGATTCTGTGTGGTTCAAAATCTCTCACGACCTTTTGCTTGGCCCTGGCTAGATCACCTCACGTCCGCGCGCGCTATCGAGGAGCTTTCGCGCTCACTGACCTGTCAAGGAGGCGGTTTTGGAAGTTGGGAGGAATGCCATTTGCCATCGGGAATAAAATTTGCTGTGTGACCGCAAGGACACTTGATTTTGGGTGGGCAACCTCCATTTCCGAGTGGCATTTATTTCAGTGGATATTGACCATGGCTCTCCAACACACCAACCATCGAGGACCGCGCATCTCTTCGTAGATGCACTGATTCACAAAAATGGGGTGTTGCTCAAAACTGGGCAACCCTAAAAATACCGCCCCCCAAAAATAAATAAATAAATAAATATCGGGGCCACCTTGGGGCTCCTTTTAGGGTCGTCCCTTCAAAGACAGGCGACACCCCTAGCATTGATTCCAGCGCGCCTCAGGCCTGTGGATATACACGACGCCTCAGCTCAGCGTACCCAGCGGTATCCACAAAAATCGCCTGTGAAATGAGCGGTGTCATGACAGAGCCTTTCACCAACTGGGTCCATTGTGGCATCCTCAGAACTACCTTTGAAATGGGCGGTGTCAAGAAAATCCCCAAATGTTCAAAACTACTTTTCACGCACTTCGAGGAAATCATTGTCTTCAGGTGTGTCCGTTGGTGAGGCTATTTTCTGGGGTGTAAAGGGAACGTAAACTGAAACCACCCGCATGGGTGCCGTATTTTGAGTCAACCCCCATGCCTCCTGAGGTCCTGGACAAGCCGAGGCTTGACATTTTGGAGGTGCTCAAGCCATGGGTCATAGGCCAAACAAGCACATGCCGTTAGGGTGTTTGCGAACAAACGAGGATCTACCCGAAATGGTGACCCTCCCACGTTTTTTGCATGGAACCTGACGTTCGGGGGTCCCTGCACAGGGAAAATGATCTTCCAGGAACCCCCCTGTCAGGTTCCATCTTAGTTGGTTGGAGGGTAGTTTCACCCTGTTTCTCCCGTTCAGGCCATCGCAAAGGAATCCTGTATGTTTGAACAAAGCCATTTGTCCACTTCCGTTCCCCGCAAAGTTTTTCAATTCGGGCTTGGTCTGGGTATGTCTAGGTGTCCTGCAAAGACACCGGCTTCTTGGGCGCGTCCTGAGCGTGACAACGGCGATCAACTTCGACAGGTATTGGGCGTCCCGTGGATTGTAGCACGTGCAACTGGATAGGAGTCCAGCGTCCGGTTCCTTCAAAGGGACCCGTTTGGGTGCTACCCAAGGTGCGGCCGAAAAACGGGGATACCTTTAAACGGGCCCCGAATGTTGACAGTGGCGATCAACCAGTAAACCGGGTCCCCGGAGTAGAATGGGTCCCTGACAGG